ACCATTATTAGACGCGACTTTAGCTTGTCTTACACAACGCAGTTTGTCGTTGTACGATAGATAGTGTGACCCCTAAATAGTAAACATCACATCACCGGGCCTCCAATAACTACAGCTCGTAGTTTGTGAGAGCGCCAAAGTCGCTGTATACAGGGCGTCTCTGCGGGGAAACGTCGAGCAACAAGCCAACTTGTTATGAATCACCTGCTGCTGCGCTTACATGCATAGGGATGAGCCAATCGAGGGCAAGAAGAGGGTGCATGATGGATCTGCGCACAAGAGAACCATTAGACGCCCCGCGGTGGGAGGTATGCAATTCTTTTTCCCTGCTTCGCGGACTCTGTCAACACACGAGGCACTTGTGCAAGTGCTCGAGGCATGCCTAGCTTGTCGCTGTTGCACGAAGTCGATTGTTTTCCAGAGAGAAGCGCCACAGACCCAGGGACTAGTTTAGCTCGCGGGCCAAGGCCCATCCACGCCAGCACCCGCTATTGAAGTTTGGCACGCGTGCTATTACTGGTCGTTGGCATAATTAGAGCCAAAAGTACGCTTTCTCGGGCAAGGCTGGTTGGTGGCTTGGGGAACTGTGCAAGCATGCAGTCCGGGGCGGTCAGCAGACAGAAAGAGCGAAGCTTGTTGCTTGTTGGCATGGCCGCCTGTGTGTATCAAGGAAAATCGAGGCCCTTGCCATGTACAACACAAGGGAAGAAGCTGGGTTGGCCCGTGGCCGGGGAAATGCGGCCAGCGCACGACGGCGGGCAGGGGAGCGCACGGCATTATATGGACCAGGGTGGTGGTGGTTGCGGACAGTTATGAACAGGGTGTAGGAGAATTGTCGACCTGCGTTAATATTGAACGCCCACTCATCGATTAGGATGTAATTAAAAAAGTAGATTTGGCCAGGGAGAAAGAGAGAGGCAATACCGAGGTTGGCGTGAGAATAAGATGAAGCAGAAGAGGAAGAAGACGACGACGACGATGATGATGATGATGCGACGTCCCAACTATCCGGAAGTTGATGGGACGGCTTGCCATGGATGGGTACCGAGTGGAAGAGGCCGATCTGTCTGGCGGCAGCCGGGAAATGGGCCTATCCTGTCTTATTTCGTTGGCGAGTCGAACGACTGTGAGTGTCGAGTTGTGTGTGCGTGTGTGCGTTGTGTGTGTGTGTGACGAGATCTTCGCCGCTCTGGGGGGGAAGGTGGCCTCACCCCACCACAATAAAGGGCCACGGGGACTAGCTGCTAGTATCATGGGCACATCCCTGAAAATCCGCACCACGGATGAAAATAGGTGACTTCGTCAGCTCTGCGGGTCACACCGGGGGAAAGCGATGAGATTGGCGGCCGTCATGGTGGTGTGATGCTGATTGCACTCGGATGAACAGGACTAGATGCAATTCACACGAGAAATTGGGCTGCTACAGAGGCTTCAGAGAGCATCATGTACTGTAGATGTGAGTGCAAGGGCCATTCGGCAGTCAGGCGCTTGATGGGGTACGATGCAGAGAGGAGGCTACTGTAAGTAGTGTAAAGAAGTTGCTGGCAGTATCCGCAAAGCAGCATATTGGGGATCCAGCCATGCGCGGGCAGGCGCAAGGTGTACGAATAGAGAAAGGATGGAGAGGGTGAGGAGGGAAATAGATGGATAAATAGATGGGTAGATGAATGAGAGATGGGTAATGGCACGAATGGTTCATGTTTGTGCAGCGTCTTTAAGCTGGCATACTTGGGGGTGGCCGGGGATAAACAGGATGCGGGAGCAAGGTAGTTGGGCTGGTGATGGTTTTTTGCATGTGCGTCAGAGGCGTTTCAGGCAGAGGGTGGCAAGAGGAGTGTGCAACGAGACGAGGAAAGTAGGTGAGGGCTAAAAACTTTAAGCACTGGTAGAAAAGGAAGAAGGAGAGAGATAGCAAGAAAGAGAGAGAGGGGGGGGGTAATGATGATTAACGATACGAGATATTTGGCAAATGACGGTTACGTGCAGGATTTGGTTTCGCCGTGAAAATCGTGATGGTTACAGGGAAGAATGAGGCCCGCAGCCCCGGTACTCATCAGGTACCTACCTACGGTACTTCAAGTTTTTGCAGTGGGTTGACAGCAAGTTAGGTACCTTAGTACGCCAATACGCTAAATTATGGCTACAAGCAAAACAACCGCTGCTAGTGTCGGTACAGGGCAATCAGGGTTCGGTTTGTTTAGCGTGCGTTTAAAGCAAGCCCAAATCCTGCGTTTTTTTTTTTGGCATTATAAAAGCATCAGCTGGAAACGATATGACGGGCAGACTGCAGAATAGAGAGAGAGCTTGCAGCTCAGAAGTAAAGATTGATCAATAGAAGAGGTCAAAGTCTGGTGTCGCAATAAAGAGCACAGAGGCACAAGAGGTTCAAGAAAATGATGGCGTGGGCAAGAGAGGATACCTGCATATTTTTGGAGGGGCCGCCGCCCCACCACCCATCAGGTACTGGTGTGTATCTAGGCTGTGGGTAGCTAAGTACCTGCAAGAGTACAGTTGCAGTCGACAGTAGGAAGCACGACAGCAAGCGTAGCACAGCAGCAAAAGCCCATGTCATTATTATGAGGATGAAATATGTAGTTGGGGAATTATATAGATTCAGAATGTATTGGAAAAAAATATGGCTTGTGGCAAGTGCTGCAGATGCTTGATAGGGCGGTTGAAACTAGGTACCTTTCGATGCCAGGGACCAACTTGTCTGCACTTGAAGACAGGCAACCTTTTCCCACGATTCGGACTCTTCACTTTAAACAAAAAAAGAACACAGCTTATGTTTTCGAATCGCCCATAGGTAACGAAGAAGAAGAGAAATTCCTTGCTCAACTGGACAGTCCAGCTCGGTGCAGTAGTTACAACCAGCACCACCACCACGACATGCAGACCTACCCAATCACGGGCGTGGGTCGAGGTGTGTCTCCACCGAGAACCTTAATCGTGCTTCCCGCCTGGGGCCTGGCTGCCAGTGGCTGATGACCAGTGGCCGCTAAAACTACCGTAACTAATAAGCTCTACCTACTGGTAGAGAGTAAGGTACCTAGGTAAGGTAGTGCCTGTGCAGTATGCCCAAGAGGCAAGAGACGAGATCAAGACATCCATTTCATCCATACAGTTTCCTTGTTCCCCCCGGTGTTCTGTCCTTTTCCCTTTTTCTTTTTCCTGCAGGTCATGGTCTTGGAACCATCTGTCTGTCATCTCTAATCCACCGCCTGAGCGAGTCTACTCTACCTAACTACCTAGGTTGTACCTACCCAGGTGCCAGGCACGCTCCAGATTGAATCACCGCCCACGCGTCTAATTCAACCGCCGGAATATTTCTTTGAAAGATATCAGCACGTCTTTTCAGAACCAGGCCATTCTTGTTGTTCATTATTCCAGGGCTACAGCCACCCCCAGATCCACCACTGACCCTTTGGCGGTCGTGTCGCCAATATTACTGAGTAACTCGTCTTGTTGCCTGTGCCTCAGTGCCCTCTAGCTACCTACCTAGGTAGGTAGGTACCCAGGCCAGGTCAGGTACCCTCTCTCGTTGAGTCGGCGCGTAGATACCTCGCTTGCCTGCCCAGCCCGGCACCAATGGCACCAATGACACCAATGTAGCCCTGCCCAGCCTGCCCGGACCCCCGTCACACCCTCATCCTCCCTCTCTCCACTCCCCCCCTCCCTCCTCCTCCAAGTCGCTCTCTCTCTTCTTCTCTTCCCTCACCAAGACGAATGGTACGTGCGTGCTACCTACTTTTCACCCACACACCACCCACCACACCACTACCACCACCACATGGGCCTGGGCCGCCTCTCTCTCGCTCTCTCTCTCTCTCACTCCTCTTTCTCACCACCACCCACCTTGTCCTACCTCCTCCATACGACTGACTGACCTACCTAACTACTTACTACCTACCTATACCCTACGCCTCTCTCTCGCCCAGTAACCACCTTTCTCTTCCTTTCCTCACATCACCACCTCACCCCTCCCTCAACCCCGGTTTACGCCTCGAAGCGTCTGTGATTTTTTTTTTCGACCTCTCTTTCTTTCGGGTACTTGTTGGCCTCTTCGTTTTGCCTTTTTTTACTTTATTATATTTCGACAATCGGGCTGTTCTTCGCTGGCCTATTTTGCCCCGTTGCCGCTCTTACGATTCCTTGCGGCCACGCCTTTTCCTCCCCCATCTGCCCTCAGCCCGCCACTTCGACACGAAACGACGATACATTCAACTGCTTCAATACTCTCTCAACACAAATCATATCCTCGTTCAACGACGACATCATCGAGCATATCGTGTTTCTCACCCTCCTCCTCCTCCTCCTCCTCCTCTTCTTCTTCCTCTTCATCCTGCGCTCGCCATCGTCTCGCGCCGCGCACTCTCAATTTCTCAATTCCCGTGCCTCATCTTGCCTGGTCCCCTGGCCTGTCCACCTTTGTACTGCTTAAGCCACGCCGCCTCGACCGCCCTGTCTTTCGCCCACGATACCGCACACTCTCGCCGCGCACACGCGCTCCCATCCCCCCTTGTGCACCGCACCCACGTCTTGGCCCCCGGAATCTCGTCTCGCTTCGCCGCCTACTCACATCTTCCTCGCCCTGTCCTCTACACTTGGCTCGAAAACGCGCCTCGCGCTCCGATATTTCAATCTTCATGGTCCCTCATCTCTGTCGCTAAATTCGACGCCACCATCATCACCGCGACGCTTGGCTTGGAGGCGTTTCAAACTCAAATCTCCAATCAGCGAGCCACGAAGTTCGGATTTTCTCCCTGGCAAGACTCCGTCCTACTTTGCCTTCTACCTCCAACCTCGACCCGATTTGAACTTGCCTTCAATATTCTACGTACTTGCCAGTTGCCCTCACCTGTCGTGTCCAACACGCTCTCCTAACCAGCCTCTACGCAACTCGCTCTTTTCAGCCTTCACTCCAGCTCAAGTCGAAAAGCTTGCTCCTCTCCCGCTTAGAGGTTTTTTCCAAATCATTCTTCGCGGCCATGGCCGCCAACATGCAGCACATGGCTGGCGCTGGCCATATGATGTCTCAGCAACAACAGCAGATGCACATGCAGCAAGCTCGCGCCAATGCCAACCAATACGGGCAAACCATCCTCGCACGCCTTACGAACTCTCGCGTCCCTCCTCAGGACTGGCACGCTACTGTTCCGATGAATGACCGTGTTGGCAGGACACTAGAACTGTTAGTCGCCTACATGGCTGCTCATCAACTCACACCCTCGCAGCCTACGCTCTCCAACAACTCTTTCCAACAAACTAACTCTCTCACTAGTTTCTCCAACGTCACTCTCGGTTCCAACCTCGAGCCAACACGCGCTTTAGACATGTCGATCAATTTCGAACTGAGTGCATTCGAGAAGTGCACATCCAAGGTAAATCACCCTCCCCCTCTTCCATCGCTCTGTCAATCACCCCTGCTGATCTTAATTCGCAGGAACTTTACTTCAGCTATCTCAAAAACAAGATTGCCGAATTCTTCAAGAGGCGGCAAGCCAACGGTGGCAACCTGCAAAACGGCCTAAACGCTAGTGCCCAGGCACAGGCCTCACTTGGTATGCAGCAGCAGATGGGTCGCGGCTTTGGCCCTCAGCAGGGCTTCGGCGGCATGAACCAACCCATGCAGGGGCAGCAGATGCCCAACCAGCAGCAGATGCTTCAGATCCAACAGCAACAGCAACAACGACAACAACAGATGGCTGCCAGCATGGCCATGGCCAACCAAGCAGGCCGCGGCACCGCTGGTCCAAATCCTCAACTTGCCATGGGCCCTGGTGCCCCTGCTCAACGTTCCCAGGGCATTGCCAACGAGATCAACCGCCTCCTGCCAGCTGATCGCGAAAGGGTCAACGAGATCGCCCTGGTCATGTTCGGCCAGGCTCCCGAGCACGTCAAGCAACAGTTTCGCACCCAAATTCGCTCCAAGATGACGCCCGCGCAAAATGCCGAATACGTTGCCAGCGGACGCGACCCCTGCATGATCATATTTCAGCAGCATGCTTTCCAGTATCTCGTCAAACAAGCCGCTGCCAACAGAGCCAAGGCTGCTGGCAACATGAACCCTCAGCAGGCCGCCATGATGCAACAGCAGAACAGCCAACAGCGCGCTAATAACATGATGCCCAATGGTGCACCCGCCTCTCATGACTTTTCTCAGTTCGGGCCCAGCATGGAGAGCATCAAGGACCAGCAGATGAGCGGCCTCATTGCTCAACAAGCCGGCCAGATGGTCGTTCCTGCTAGCGGCGCCGCAAGAAATCCGACGCCTCAGCCTGGTAATCAAGGCATGATCAACCAGGGCCAGAACCAGACGCCGCGTCAAGGCCAGCAGCCAGGTCAGCAACAGCAGCAGCAGCAGCAGCAGCAGCAGCAGCAGCAGCAGCAGATAAAGTTGAACCAGGCCTCGCAGCAAGCGCAAGCGCAAGCGGCCCAGATGAAGCAGATGCACAGCCAGCAGGGTGGCCCAATGGATCCAAATCAAAGTCCCGCCATGAACCCTACCGCTAATCGTGGACCCAATGGTGTGAATCCTATGGGAACTCCGGGCATTCAGCACGGCAACATGCCCTTTGGTAACCAGCTGCCGCTTGCTCAGAGGTTCCATGCAAACCCACAACTGCAGGCTACTGTTCTCTCCATGGCTGCTAGCATGAACCCCGACCAGCAACATCATCTCAGCCAGCTCAACGATGAAAAGGTCATGGACCTGGTACGCAGATGGCTTGCCCAAAATCGTCAGCGCGCCACCGCCGCTCAAATCAACGCAACTCAGCTGCAACAGCAAAATCAAGTGAATCAGAATCCGGCCGGCGCAGTTCTCCAAGGAGCCATGCAACCTCAACAGCAGCCCAACGCTACCGGTCCAAATGGCGGCTCTTCACAGGGACAAGGGGTCATGAATCTTGTCACTCCGCAAATGCAGCACGTCATGGACAGCCTGGATCTCCCTCCCCCGGTTCGTCAAACGATTCCCAACCTGCCGACAGAGGCCAAGAAATGGCGCGATCTCAAGATGTGGATGAGCCAGGGTAATCAGATCCCGCAACACGCCAAAGGGACCCTTGCTGCCTTGCAGAAAAGCCAGTTTCAGTCGTGGTGGACTCAGCGCAACCAGTTGATCCAGGCCCAGCAGCAAAGACAGCTGCAACAGCAGCAGCAGGGACAACAACAACAACAGCAGCAGCAGCAGCAGCTGGGTCAGCCACAATCCCTCCAGCAGGGCCAGCAGCTCCCTCACATGGTTCAGCAACCACCACAGGGCCAGCAGCCGCATGGCCAGCAGCAACAGCAGCAGCAGGCTCGTATGTTGGCTGGCGGCATGAATCCGGCCAGCATGCCCCCCAACATAGCAAGCATACCTGTGCCTGCGCACGTTATGCAAATAACACCGCAGGATATTGTACAGGTCCGAAACCAGCGACCTGATCTGGTCAGCGCAACTGACGAGCAGGTTCGTGTTATTGCCATGGGACTAAAGCGCAACAATTGGCAGATGCAAGTAGCGAATCGTATGCGGGCACAGGCTAGCCACAGTCTTGGACCTCTAAATCCCATGGGTGGACCAGCCGCTGCACAGATGGGCCAGCAGCACAATCAAACCCCCCAACAACACGAGGCAAACCGTCAGCAGCCTCAGCCGCCTCAGCCGCCTCAACAGCAAGGAGGTACAATGCCTGGTGCTTCTGTCCCGGCTCAAGCCGCCGTGGCCGTCAAGCAGCAGTCAACGCCTCAACAGCCCGCCAAGAACCTCAAGCGACCTAGCGCTGACGATGCCGCTGGTGCTGATAACGTTGCTGATGCTGGCAGCGCTGGCGGTGCCAGACCCAACAACTCTACTGGCCCCAAGAAATTACCACCTCAATTGTCGGCGCAGCAAATCGCCAGCATGACGCCAGAGCAAAGAGCCAAGTACGAGGCGTTCCTGAGACAGCAAGTGGCCAACAGAGAGGGGGGAGCTGCTGCCCTCATGCAACCAACAGCTGAGTCGATCAGTCGACTCAAGACCATTGGCCAAGAAGCCGCACGCCAGCTTATGCAGGAACCTATGGCCGACATTCCTATGAGCCCTCAAGAGCTCGAGGAGACTGGTGCGAAACTGAAGCGCATCGTCATCGACATGGGCAAGGTGGGACGTGGTCTGACCAGATGGTTTGCCCTTACCGGAGATGAACCACGCGCGAGCATGTTTTTCAAGTTTCGGCAACGCCTCATTAAGCAATTTGTGGATGGTGACAACATGAAGATTCTGCGCGACTCTTTCAGCATGCGATCTTCAGACTTGGAGCAGGCCAGAGCCATGCTGGAAAGCATGGTCCGAGATATTCAGGTCGCCAGCAAGGGTGGGTTCATGAGGGCGCAGAATAGTCAGGCGCAAGGCGGCCAAGCTGCTCAACAGGCATCGCAGGGCAATGCCGAGCAAACATCGTCGACCGCGGCGGCAGTGGTGGCACCTCTGAATGCCAGCAACCTGGAAAAGAACTCGCAGGCGCTCAATCGGCAAAAGAGCAAGTCAGCGAACCAACCCCCTCCCGCACCGACGGTGGCTCAGGCACCCGGGTTCCCAACAAACGCCTCGTCGCCGCATGGTAATCCAAGCTATATGAGCAAGGCCAAGGATATGAACCTACAGATACCGCCGCGCAAGAAGCAAAAGGTGGCGCAGCAGCCCGGGCAAGGCGTCAACACACCATCGCCACGAGTCAGCAAGACGGCGTCGCCCGAGGTGAAGCGAGCACCGGAGCCTGTACCCAGGCCGGTGTTCCTGTGCAAGGAAGCGGACTGTGATCTGCCGTCTGTTGGTTTCCCTACGGAACAGGCCCTGAAGCAGCATGTGGAGGAGGATCACGTCAAGCCGAGGCAAGACCCGGTCAAGTTTGTGCAGGAAAACTTGGCGCTAGCTCTCGGACTGGAGATGGACGGGACGGTGAAGAAGGGCGCTGGAGAGGCGGCACAACCCATGACGCAGTCGGGTTCGAAGCAGGGACAAGATGTGGCGATGAAGAGATCTGGCAGTGCGCTGAGCCGAGTACAGCCTGTCGGCGGCAGAGGCGAAAACGGAACGCCGAAGACGACGGCAGCGGAAGCGACGACACCGGGACCGGTAGATCCTTGGGCGACGGCGACGATTGACCCACAGGCGCTGCTGAGCAATCTGGGGTTTGAAAACGGACTGCCAACGGTGATGAATGAGTTCCTGCTGTACCGGTCGCTTACGCCCAACGACACACCCGAGTCGAGCAAGGACAGCGGAGCGAGCGAGCCCAACAGCGACATTTCCGAAGGTGCGGCGCTGGAGATTGACATGAACTGGCAAAACATTGACACGGATGTACTTCTCAACATGAACAATACCAGCCTGGACGCGTCGGGAAGTACGCTGGATCCATCGCTTCTCCTTGACCCTCTGGCGGGGCCACCTCCAGACTGGGACGATATGACTGTCGACTTCAACAAGCCGTTTCAGTTTGACACGAGCCATTATTCGTTTGATACGTCGTCATGAGAGCTGCGCACATGTCCATTTGCTGCGAAACTGACGGACCATGACTTGCTCATGTTGTTTGAAATTTTCTTCATTTCATTTCTTCGTTTACCGCTTTTCACTCAGTTGTTTTTGGGATCCAAGCCATGACGACATGGCACGGTTGGATGGTTAATACAAAAAAGAGGGGAACATGGTAGGCAGCGACAAGCGAACTCTGTATTTTTTTCTTTTTGAACGGTTTGGTTTTGTTTGGTCCTTTTTTCTTGCTGTTTCTTGTCAAGTTGTCCACTTGAAGTCTTAGGATATATACCCGGTTTCTTTTTTTCCTTTTATGACGCCATGCAACGTCGGGCGATGGGCAACGATTGGGATAGAGCTACAAAATAGGGGTCTGGCAAGGTGACGACGAGACGTTGCAATGCAATCGTCAGCGGTGTAATTACAAGCGTTTTTAATTTTTTTGTTCCTATATCTGTGTATTCTGTTGGCTAGGGCTCTATTTCGAAAGTGGAGTAGTACCAAGGAAATTGCGATTTATTGTTTTGTCGAGATGTCAAAGTGAGAGAAAGTTTGTGACTGTCATGGTATTGGGTAGTTGTATGCGTAAACATAAGCATGTGAATAGCCTCAGGAAGGAGTCGAGGGTGGTGGCTGATGAGCAGCAGGCCGTTAAGCCTTAACTACCTAGGTAGTTAGCCGGCGGGCGCTAGGCTGAATTAGGACTGTCTGGCGGCTCTGGGTCCCTGAAGACGTGAAGAGACACGAACGCGACGGGAAGCTCCACATTGCATTTTCCTTGTCTTTTTTGTTCTTGAGGCGTTGCGATAAATACAAGGGGAAATTGACTCTAGATTCAGGAGTTTTTGAAGGGGAAAAGTTTATCTGGTCGAGTAAAACGCCATCTAACGGGGGGTCTCAAGGTTGATTGTATTGATTGTATTGATGAACAACACGCTACTATAATTGCGGTAACGAGCATTGTATACGGTAGTCGCGCTGGTGAAAGATCTGTGTGCATTATTTAGAAATTTATGTATGTATGTCTGTCTATACATGCAGCGGGACCCAGACGCACGCAAAAAAAGTGTGGGGTGAGAGCTCCTCTTCCTCCGACCCGACTCCAGCTTGGCTCCCGAGCCACGCCTACCTAGTTATCACATCCCCGTACTCGGACCTGGTCACGTCACGTCCATCAACCAACCATTCGCGTTCTGCTCCTCCTCCTTCTTCTTCTTCATTCTCACTCTTCTGCAGTATACCCAGCATCATCTTGCATTCCATCAACGCGTGCATCAGACTGGCAGCATCAGAAGCGTTTGCTTAGTTATACCTTGTTTCCATCTTCCGTTGGCAAGCTGCTTGGGTCAAAGCCCACGAGATCCATTTCGTCTCGTTCCTTTCCTTTGCACGCCGTGCTTTTTTTTTTTTCCTTTTGGACATTCAATACGTGGTTGAGCAAACAATTCCAACGTTTTCATTGTTGACGACATATTCTTCTCTTGCTGAAAAAAGGAATCAACATGAACAACGCCTCGCCGATAAAGAAACGCGCCGCGCTCGCCCCCCTCGACGCGAACGCGATGACCACGACACCGACGTCTACGAGCAAACACGCCCCTCTTCCCGGCAGCCTCAAAACAGCAGCCGCATCGTCGGCGGCGAATACCGCGCGGCGGTCACTTGGCTTGCTGTCCTCGGCGCCCGTGCTCGCGCCGCCCGTTGCCGCACGCCACGGCGGCGTTCCGTCAGTGGGGATGAAGCGTTCCGGGATGGTGCTGCACGACGATGACGACGACAAAGACAGCAAACGTGGCCAGGAAAAGGCGGCCAAGAAGAGCAAGATAGATCATGAGGAGCCGGTAGCAGCAGCCGCAGAGGTGGCGTTGGTATCGTCGACGCAGAGCTCAACAACGACGGCAAGGAGTAGAACGCATAGCCCAGACGTGAGCTCCGTCTTTGATACGTCGGCCGCAGAGGACGCTACGTGGCTGACGGCGGCAACGGAGCCAGACGTGGCTGCACAAACGCCGCCGATGGTGGTGGCGCGGCCAGGGGCTCTGACGCGGGAGCAGGCACGCGAGGTGAGTTTAGAGATGTGCTTTGTCAATGAGTCGGAAGAAGAACACAAAGAAGCAGGACTGACACGATATAATAGAAGGTCGAGATTCTACGGCTACGCCTCGGGCTCGCGAGCTACAAGCTCCGCACGGGACAGGTCTCGGTGCCGCTCGCTGACCTCCAGGCACGTCCCCTGCCCGCCGCCGCGGGGATAATGGCGTCAACGGCGGAAAATACGCCAGACAGCTCGCAGGATGTGGCGGCGACGCGGCAAGACAACAATGACGAGAAAGAGGATGTGATTGCAGAGACGCCGCCCGCTGTGGAACCATTGCCATCAACGTGAGTTGTTGGCGCACAATCGCGAGACATTTTTGGACGCCATTTGTTTCATTTCTTGAGTTTTGAGTTTTGGTTCGGCGCATTATTCTTTGGGGGCAATTGGGAGAACGAGGGTGACATCATATTGCTTTATTGTTTTCTTGTTTTGGTATCGGAGTAGACCACTCTTGCGTCGTCCTGGCTTGGTTCAGTTCGGGGCCGCACATGAGGACTGGGTGCACGAACGACTCTCGCATCCTTGGCGTTTGCGGTCACATTGGGTTTACAAAGTGAAGAAGAAAGCCTACATTTCTGGGGAGGGGGGTATCTGACTCTTTTCTCTGCTACATTTGTTGTAATCATATTTGTTTACTTTTCTGGCGTATTGGCGACACGTGGGTCTTGTTATACGGAGGAAATCAAAAGAGAAGACGTCATGAAATACAAGATAGTTACAGTTGGCAAGCAAAACCATTTAGCGGGAGGATTTACCTTTGGTTGAGCTTGTTTCATGATTCATGATATTCAAACGCCTATACTATCCTAGCTTCGACGCCCTGCAACATTCGCATCTCGCTCATGCGCCGATTCACACCGCAAAAACTCCCCAATCGCCGGACAAAAAAAACACATTTCAAGAATCGATGGCTCAATCAATCAAGATCTTGGGCTCGATGACGCTGTACGAGGAATAAAACTTGTCAAACAGCTTGATGGCAAAGGCAATATCAGCAGTACCGCCAGTCTCGCGGATGCTATGCATGCTGAGCTGCGCGTTGCCCACGTCAATGGTGCGCACGCCCAGCAGCGCAGCGAGCCCGGGGCCAATGGTGCTGCCGCAGAGCGAGTCGTTGCGGACGACAAAGAGCTGGAGAGGCACGCCGGCGGCGCGGGCGCACTCCTGCAGGAGCGCGATGCCGGGCGAGTTGGTGGCGTACTTTTGACTGGCGTTGACCTTGATGACGGTGCCCTTGTTCATGGCCGGCTGGTGCGCCGCCTCGTACTTGCCAACGTAGTTGGGATGCACGGCGTGCGCCATGTCGGCCGAGACGAGAAACGACCGCGCGAGCGTCTGCTCAAAGGCCGTTGACTCTTCGCTGTCGGCTGCGACATGCTCGTAGCTCTTGTCCGAGCCGGTATCGCGGGATGTGCTGCCGGGCAGCACGGCGAGGCGGCGCAAAACTGCGGGCAGCATGTTGGAGTGGGCGCCCTGGGCCGACTTGGAGCCAATCTCCTCGTGGTCGAAGCAGACGGCCATGCGGATGGTGTTGTCGTTGTGGAGCGCGTCCTTGGCATTTACAGAGGAGATGAGACCCTCGATCGAGCAGTAAGTCATTTCGAGGTTGTCGAGACGGGGCGCAAAGATGAACTCGTTGTTGAGACCGCCAATGCAGGCGTCCTGGGTGTCGTAGAGCATCATCTCAAAATCGACAATGGCGTCGACAGAGACGCCAGCCTCGTTGGCAATGACGTTGAGGACGGCGGGGTGGTGGCGGTCGGTCATCTCGGCAAGAGGCTCAAAGTCCTCATCACCATCCTCATCGGTGGGGCGGCGGCCGGCGTTGGGGGGTGGCTTGCCGAGCTGCTGCTCGGCGAGGGCAGTGATGGGCAACATCTCGGTCTCGAGGTTCGGGTCAAAGTTGCTCTGGCGGTGCAGGTGGATGGCGAGCGTGGGGATGCGGACGAGCGGCCGTTCAATCTTGACGAGCTTGGGCACAATGGAACCGCCCTCGCGGACGAGGAGGCGGCCGGCCAAGCTCAGATCGCGGTCAAACCACGAGGTCCAGATGCCGCCGCCGTACTTTTCCACGGCAATCTGATCGTAGCCGACCTGCGACTTCTTGGACACGGGCTTGAGCCGCAGACAGCACGAGTCGGTGTGGGCGCCGACGACGGAGACGGGGTTGCCCGCGCGCCACTTGTGGCCGACGGCAAAGGCGGCAATCGAGGAACCATTGCGGGTGACGTAGTATTTGCCGCCGGGGCGGACGGACGAGGCCCAGGAGTCGCGCTCGTGAATTTGCTGGAAGCCAGCCTTTTCGAAAATCTTGACGGCGGTAGCGACGGCATGGTACGCTGCGGAGGTAAGAGGTCAGCTGAGCCACGTTTGCGGCAAAGGGGGTTGTCGGCGCACGACGAGGGGACTACACACGCGTCGGCGAGGCATTGACAAAGTCGATAAAATCGAGGGCGGCCTGGGGAGGAGCCATGGTCGAGGCCGAAGCGGAGAAGGCAAGGGAGATCCGGAAAGTCGGTCTGTAATGGTGATGATGGTGGTGGCTGTGGTGGCGGAGGGTCGGCAACGGCGATGAGATGGAAGAGAGGCGGGCAAGGCGCAAATGGTTCATACAGGCCGGTAGAGCTTAAGAGATGCCAACGACGAAGCGACCTTGAGAGAAACGTGACAGAGGATATGAAGGGAGAGATCAGATAATCAGCGGATGTGTCACGGAAAAAAAAAAAAAGCAAAGAAAAGATCCAGCATCAGCATCAGCATGTCGGCCGGCACAGGAGCCCCACAGTGCGGGGCCGCCATGGCCCAGTCTGGCAGGTGGCGGGAAATGGTACCCGGCCGGCCGCGTCGACCGTTGGGGCCCGATCCGAAGTATATATAGACTGTTGAAAGAAAGAGTCAACGTATTGGTTTCGCAGTGTGCAAGTCATTATGTCTGTCTGATCAGATCAGATTAATGCTGTGAAAAGTAGAAATTGGCAGGGAAGATGTTGCAATGTGTATATTCACTTCGAACTATGACAGTGACCATATTTGTATCCAAGTTTTAAAATTTGAAAATCCTTTTTCTTTAGAAGAATTGTAATGATATCATGGCGTATAACAAATCTAAGTCCATCTAAATCTTCAACAAAGGAAAATGCATCTAGTCCAAAAATCGAATGATAAACGCCCGCCTTTTCCCATCTTTTAGACGCGCTCTTTCCCGGAACGGCCTGCACCATCATAACCTCCCATCGCCATAGCGCCATCGTCGCTGTCCGAGTGGCCGGGCTTCTTGCGCGTCGCGTCGCCATTTTCAGCGGTTGACTTGTCAAACACCAGGCCCGGGTTGCCAAACATGAGCGCGATGCTCGCAATCACAACCATGACGCCCTCGAGCACGATGAACAGCACCTCTTCGCGGAACAGCTCGCCCGTGTAGCCATCCTTGAGCTCCGCGACACGAAACGAGCAGCGGGTAAGGATAAAGACGCACGCGGCCACCAGGCCGGCAAAAAAGGCGACGCTCCGCCAGGCTGTGAGCTCGGCGCGCGCGCGGCCCGAGCGCGCCAGCCGCACCATGTAGTCGAAATAGGCGGCCATGAAGATGACAATGACGACGACTTGTAGAATGAGACCGGCCATGGAAATGTCGACGCCGGTGCGCTTGCCGTCGCGCTCGGTTGTGGACAGGGCGCCGCCGATGGCTTGCAGGATGAGGCAGACAACGTCAAAGGGGATAAAGACCCAGTAAAAGAGCTGCGGCTTGAAGCGCGAGAGTTGAGGCGCAAAGTATAATATCGTCTTGGAGAGGGTGACGTAGATGGACGCGGTGAAGAAGACGGGCGCAATCGTGAGGCAGACTTGTCGAAGGGGGAGAGAGAGACGGGGTTAGCCAGGCGTTCAAACAGACGAGGAGAGAGTCAATCAACGAAACTTATTTGAATCATGAAGCCGTAATATGAAAATGGATTGTGCCACATCATTATGCGGCCCACGTAGCCCAGAATCTCCGTGACGCAGCCCAGCAGCATGCCCGCGGCAAAGCCCCAGCTGCGCCAGCGCACGCCCAGATATGCGTGCACGGCGCCAACGGCCGCAAAGAGAACCAGGAATACAACGTTGGCGGCCAGCGACGGCCGGTAGCCAAGCATAGACCACTCGACCGGGCAGTTGTTGAGGCTGCAGGGCGAGTTGGGCCCAAAAATGTCTTGTACGCGGCCGTTGGAGGATGACATGATTGCGAAACTTTTTTTCCGTAGTGGTCGTCCGTCGTTGCGAATTTTTTTGAGCGTCAGTTCGGGAAAAGGACTCTATGGTTCTTTTTTTTCTTTTTCCCTATGGTCATGGTTTCATGTTGGTTAGAGAAATTTTGGACCAAGAGGCCGTTGACGTGGGAACTCGGAACGGCCGGTACTTGAGAACGAGGGCCGGCTCCGGGCAGCGGAGGGACTAATCTGACAGATGACGGAGCGAATATACACCCGAGCGCCAAGGTTTGAATTTTTTTTTTTTTTTTTGGAGCTTGTTGGTGGATAGTAAAATAGCTTTGCTCCGTCACGAGAGGGCACAAAAGATATATACTTATTTTCACAACGTAAAGACGCTGCAGTCATCCTTCACCACCAATGTAGAATTACTCTACTGCTTCGGACTCTGATGATGTATCGGTCTCGGCTGCAAGCCCGAAACTGACGAATCCTTTCATGGCATATATATTGGTAAAGTATCTCGTTATCCTAGGAATCCGTCACCCTTTAGCGCATAGAATCAGGTTGTTGTTTTTTTTTTTTTTTTTAAGCTCGCGCCGCCCTGCTGCGTCCCAAACCAACGGTTCGCGAGCCTCGTTTTTGTCACCACTTTAACTTAGTTGCTCTGCAAGAAGAGCAGGGACCGGACTTAAAAAAAGTCAGCATGCTCCACCAACCCATATTTTCATGGCTGAGAGTGCTTCATCAAGCAACAGAACTGTAAATCAGCTCAGGCGGGCTGGTCGGTTTCTGAGAAGAGTAAGTCCCATGTAGGGCTTGGGGCCACGTTTTTGCGTCGAATCAGATCGCCTGCCAATTGAGGCCACCCTCAGCTGAGGCTGCAGGGTCTAATAATGCGAACTAGAGGTGTAGCAATGAGCATGAGGCTCTGCGGCGATGCAGGATGTTAAAGTGTAAAGGATATGTTATATATAGCACGGCCCCGCTGCCTCGATGACGACAGCGGACCCGGAGGAATTCTGCAGCCCGGTATGCCCGGTAACTTTGCAGCCAGATGCACATTTGGTCCATTTACAAAAAGTTGGTCGTCTATTTCTTTCACTTCTATACCAAGTTGTTGTTTTTTTCTTTTCTTCTCGAAAAGTAATTGATCAAAGGGTCGTCGGAATGGAACAGTGTCTGACTTGCTCAAACGACAACGGATGACGTTTGATCTTGACAAGGCGGCAAGGCCCCACAGGACGGCCAGCGCTGTCAGCCAAGTCCGAGCCCGAGTCCGAACTTGGCGCGCCGGCATGACGTTGCACCAGCTGCCAGCCGACTACGGACCTGGTAGGCCTGCGGCGAAGACATTTCCATCTTTCGACTTTTCTTCAGCCTTGTGTATACCACGGGTCTTGCTCCCGCAATCTTTGCATTCGAGACCAGCCGCCAGAATCGGAGTTATACCAGACGAGGCCTGCGCGCATGCAGCGCTGCCGTACACTAGGATTGAATCGTCGTATCGGCATGCCTTTGTTTATACCAAACTCTTCACTATCCTAAATACAGGGTTTCGTCAATGTTTGATCAGACAACATATTGTCGAGTAGCACGGGTCGAATGCGTGACCAGAGCAGTCAGGATCGAGATTGCTGAAGGCAATGGTAGGCTGCTTGTGTGACCGTGACAACACCACTACGGGGAGTGAGATACCAATTGACCTTTGCCTCTATTGGCAGATTATTCATCTCGCAAACTCGGCGGTTTGGAAACTGCTACATGGCTCATGATCGCCTCGAATGACTGTCATTTGCTGCCAGAAAACGCTTGGGAACTTTCAGTTCTGTGTTTGTAGCAGCGCGAGGCATCAACTCACGATACGCTGAAGACTTGGAATCCAGCATGTCGACATTGTGCTTCAGATAGATCACGATGGACCAATGGATACAACCATCTCTGTGGCTTTCGTCTTCACGTCTGCCAGGTGCATGGTCAGACGGCAGCCTTTGGTCTCAGGCCCAGATCTTACACCATTCCAACAAGTGAGTACCTCGAGACAATGGAGCGTCATGACATAATTCTTTGTTCCCTTTTTTTTTATCGCTCATCTCCGCGTTCCACTCGAGGACAGACTCGACGAAAACGACTGCGTGGGTATCGGTGAACGCTATCGTCGAGCCGTCTTGAGACGCGGTACGCGCACAATGGCAGTAACTGATACTCGTCTCCTTGATAGCAAGATTCGTTGTCTTTTGCCTCCTCTATCTGAAGAAAACGTATATAAGACCTGGCTCCCTTTTTTTTTTCCTCTCTTTTTTTTTTTTGTGATTTTTTGGTTCCACTCCTCGGCCCTGTTTTGTGCATCGTGACAAATTACAAGAAATAAAAAGCCGCACAACGTACCCCGAGATGATCACAATTATGCGCGTTCAGGCATCAGAAACAAAACAAGGCCAAGAAAAAAAAGGCGGTAAAAACATGTCAATCAGCAAGGAAACAAGAAATTTAGTCTTTGCGTAGCTAAGCTGTTCCCCAGCGTTGGCGCGTTTCAAGATTTGCGGACGGACGGGTAGAGATCTAGATGGGCACGTTGTCGCGCACGCCCGCGTGCGTGGCCCGTTTGTTTCAAAGTCTTTTTGATGGCGCCCGGGAATAGTCGAAGCAAGGGGAGCGAGCGACAAAAGAAAAGTCAATGTTCCAAGTCGTCAATACTGCGAGACAAAATGACGACTGGCTGTTCTTTTGCTGGCACAACTGGCTAAAGTGGACGTGTCTTGGAAATTGTGCGCGTGTGCGTGACATGCACAACGTTGCATTATTTCTTTGGCATCGATTTTTACGCAGTCTGGCAGTGTGCAAATTCGGGCCAAGGCTAGGCAAGCCCGCAGGGAAGCAAGCGACAGCCTCGCTATTTCAATCATTCAACGCTGTTCGTAGAAGCCTCTTCTCTCTCAATACGGAGTACGTGTACACACAACTAAAAGTACAATCGTGATTATTCAGCGGCGCTCGTACTGATAATGTTGGTAATATCAAGGAGGCGGGCGTCATTCCTGGTCCGCAGCGTTGTTTGCCTGGCTGCGCCTTGTTATCTACTTGTCAGCCCCGTCCTCTTCGGTCGATCATAATTTATGCTGCCACCCACACACACAACATGTCATGTTCGGTCTTCTTTTTGTGCAAGCCCCGGGCGCCCTTGAAAGGAAGCTGAACGCGCGTTGACGCCCAAATGGCTTGCTAACTATTGCTGCTGCGCACCAACCAGAAATGGTCATCTCCAGAGAGCGAGAGAGACAGAGGGGGGTGTAGTGGGAGGGGCGTGTGCTAATTTCCCCAGGGATCCGCCGCGCCAAGCCGAAAGGGGACAAGACTCGGGAACCAGGAACAGCATTTTTTTTTTGTTTCGCAAGGCGAACGGACGTCGGCGTTCGGTCGGGCTGCCGGCGAGTCTCACGGCAAAAAAGAAAGCAAGAGAAGCAAGATGTAAACAATGTCTCGCGTCGGTTACAGCCTTGAATAAGCAGTGGGGGGGGACAAGAAAAAGCAAGGAAGAGGAAGAAGAAGAGAAAAAAAAGAAGAAAAAGAAGAAGAAGAAGGAGTGAAAGGAGTAGAAGAAAGTCAAAAAAAGGGCGGAGCATCGCTGGTGGCGGGATCCGATAAAAACATTCTTCTAAGAGCCCAAGTGGACATGATAAGCTTGTTTGCACATCGCATCTGCCTGCCAACCAGGTAAATAGTTACCAGTACTCCGTAGTAACTACCTTAATAATAATAAATCTTTAGCTCACCGAAGCTCGACTCACACAGCAAAGAAATGCACACCCCCCTTGTCGTTGTCAACTTTGGCAGTCTAGGCTCTTTTCCCCCCCCACGCTTCATTTTGTTTCTGCCATTTCGATTATGCAGGTCTGATCAAAATCCCCCCACACTTTGTTACTTTTTTCGCGTTCCTGACTTTTGGAACAATAGGAGTAGTACGGCGAGTCTTTGATAGCCGTTGTTTCCGTCTGGAACAATCTCAGTTGGGACATTTCTATGAGTGTCAATGGCAGCATAATTGCATCACAGTCATGACTGGTGGGCGAAGTGAAGAAGTAAATGTTGAAAAAATTGAATCAAGTAAACATGTAGAGAAAAGGCTCGCTTTCCTCAAAACACCCCTATATAATTAGAAATTAAAATACATTTGTAGCCCAGCGCCAAAATGTAGAATGCACTCAACCCAGCAGCCAAAAAGATGTTTTGCCGTAAATGCTTTGTAGTATTAAAGGAGCCTAGTTAAACCTCTGTACATGTCCAACTGATAGACTCCAGAAATATGCCAGTCGTTAAAAGTACTGTGAAGCCCTTGTTAGGCTTCAACTATGTAAGCCGAAAGAAATTATTTAAGCAAGGACGAAAGCAGCGAGACCGGCAGCAGCGGCAAAGATGGCGGAGCCAGCAAAGCTAGCGGCAGCACCAGTGACGGGAGGCTGGGCAGGGCAGTTGGGACCAGTGCAGCTGGGATACGTTAGAAATGAGTTGAGCATCATGATTTTAGGTAGTACTTACGTCTGGTTGCCACCAGCAGGGGGCTTGGGAGCGCCGGTGCCGGCAGGGTTGCCGGGGTTAGCGCCAGGAGCGCCAGGGTTGGCACCAGGAGCGCCAGGGTTGGCACCAGGAGCGCCGGGGTTGGCACCAGGGCCGCCGGGGTTGGCGCCAGTAGGGATGGCGGGGTTGCCACCGGTAGGGCAGGGAACAGCAATGGTAGAGTACTCAACCGAGGTGAGAACGGTGGTGTAGCTCTTGGTGATGGCGGTGACGGAGTGAGTAGGGCAAGCGGGGGCGGGAGGGCCAACCGACTTGGAGGGCTTCTCAGCACCAGGACCAGCGGGCTTCTCGCCGCCAGGGCCGGCAGGCTTGTCGCCGCCAGGGCCAGCAGGCTTGTCGCCGCCAGGGCCAGCAGGCTTGTCGCCGCCAGGGCCAGCAGGCTTGTCGCCGCCAGGCCCAGAGGGCTTCTCGCCACCAGGGCCTTTAGGCTTCTCACCACCAGGGCCAACGGGGATAGTCGAGTTGTTCCAGTGACCAGGAGTCTGGGTGGCAGGGGCAACGGGGCAGATGGTGGTGGAGACAGAGACGGTCTCGGTGCTGACGACGGTGCTGTGAGCAGGGCAGTCGGTGACGGTAGGAGCACAGCTGGTGATGGTGTGGACCTTGGTGCTGTAGATGGTGCTGGTGGTCAGAGGCACAGTGTTGGTGATGACCGAGGTGGTCTTGGAGCGGGAAGGGCAGTCCGTGACGGTCTCGGGGCACTGAGTGACGGTAACGTGCTGGGTGACAAAGGCGGTGCTGGTGGGCTCAACAGAGACCTCGGTTCCGGCCATGACCGAAGTGGCCAGGATGGCGGTGGCAGCAGCGAAACGCATCTTGATTGAAATGGTTGGGGTGGGTGAATGGAAGGTGGTGAAAGAGTGACGAAAGCGAAAGCTTTGAAAAGTTTTGAAAGAATGGACGACCGAAGTCAAACGAGTCAAAAGCGTACTGCTTGTGGTTGTGAATGGGCTGTTTTGGCTGAAGAAAAAAAAGAAGAAGAGAAGAGGCGATGGAGAGGATGGGAAGCGGTATTAATAGCCAGCTCAGCTGCTCGGGGGTGTGTATCTTGACAATCTTCTTTTTAAGGGGGGGGGGGGCGACTTTGTTCTTCATCGTCTTTGGTAGAGATGTACGGGTGCGGGTGGCAGTCTGTCAGTGTCCCATCGCGTTAGCAAGGCAGGACAATGTGATGAAGGTGATAGACGCACGCCATGAGCTCCATCTGGGAAATTGCACCGCGTCGGGAGGTTGCTGGTCTTTCTGTTTTGCTCCATTGAGAGAGAATGTGGGCGTGAGAAAGCATGGAAGCGTGGAGCTTGTTCGGCATGGACAGACAATTGAACATGGGGCCATGAAAAGGATGGGGCATGGACATGGATGGGGTCATGCAGCGTGGTCAGTGGTGTACTGAGTGTACTGAGTATGTATACGTACGGATTACCGTGTGGGACAATTGGACAGGCGGGGCGCGCTAATCCAGGGGAAAAGAGAAGACCGAGATGCCCAATTGGCAATTGCCCCAAATTCACCCACTGTCTGGCCCACTTTGCACGCGCTCTCAGTGGCACTCACAAGTACCAAGTACTGTTTTTTCCCACTTGCCACTGACTTGCACTTGCGCAGGGAGCATTTAGGGGCTTTGCTGTTATTCAGGGGCAACTCGCAGCGGGCCATGACCTAGAAATGAGGGTCCACAGGCGCTGCACCTCGCTGTAATCAAAGCCTGCAGCGTGCCTGCAGGTATTCAGTATTCACATAATACGGATACCAGAAAGCATTGCCCAGTTGATGCTCTGATCAATCCCTTTTCTAGACGTCGATGCGTCGTCCATGTCCATCCACGAACCATGTCCCTGCTTATCCTGACCCCTTTGGCAAACTATGTCTTGCCCGTAAAAAATGAACCTACTTTTTTTGCCCTTGCCTTGGAAAAATACCTCTAGCGAGTAATGCCACCGTTTGCACGAATAATAAGCGTCGCGCTTCAACCAGTTGTTCAGTTTCTGCTCTTCATCAAGACTATTGCAGCTCCAATAAACTAATTAACTAATTAAGCACTGCCACGGTGCCACTGCAAGTCGCCATTTCCAACCTGCCCATCGCAACTTCATCAATTCGTTAGTTATTAATACTCATCTATTGTTAGAAATCGACCATGTCTATTGGTTTACCTCCAATTGATTGCTTGTGGTTACTTTCTGCCTGCAATCTCGCTACCCCCCAATATGCCATAGTAATTATAGCAGGGACGGGCACTCGATGATTAATTCTATCTAGCATCATAAGCGACGCTGCACTCGATTTATTACCGCCATCTCTGCGCCAATGCCCTCATCAGAATGGTGCTACTTTTAACATGTCAAACGACCAGCATTACTAGCTAGCCACTGTCAAAACATGTGCAAAGGCGATATGCGACTTGGCCAGTCAACAGCATCTATGACGTCCTTTCTTTTGTTTCTGAAAAGTGGAATAAACATGTTCAAGTCGTGAATCCAGTACACCGATTTTTTGTGATTGATATCAAGAATTGGTATTACTAGCCTTGCACGCCTTGTTCAGACGCAGAGCCAATGTCTAAGACTCGTCTCATAGCGTCACTGATGCAGATCAAGACTCGCTTGGGCGCTGTCAGACTTGACAAGCGCTCATCCGCTTCATGTTTGACTCAAGTCTTGCCCATCTATCCAAGATGCCAAGTTCCGGATTATGCCGAGGCGTGTCGCCAGTCCACTTCGACCGCTCTGATTCAAGCCATCACTACTTCGTACATATTTACACCTGACTGCTGCAATCATAAAATAAATGGGCGGCGACATGGAATCCAATAAAGGATTATTGCGACACAGTCGCCCGTTCAGCGCCCCTTAGCTGCCAGCAGCCCTGTAAGCGCTGCGACTTGCCTGTGTCTCGCCCTGTCATGCATGGGAGTGGCTCTCTCGTCTGGCTGTCATCCGCCATGGGCCCAGAGTTCACTGTGGCGGCAGAGGATATTTGCTCATAATGGAATCTCTCATTGGAGATGGCTACAGGGCTTTTATTCACAGACTCACAGTGCTAGTTATCAGGACGTGCTTCGTACGTACAGGCGGACAAGACAAGAAAGGGGGCTCAGATGGAAAAGGAGAACGAATGCCGCACCACAACTGGCTGCTCACATGCCGCTAATGCAGGAACAGATCTTCTGCCCACACAATTGGAAACGACGGCGCGCTTCCTAGCGGCGCAGACTATTACACCTCGTGTGGCGTGCCTTTGTCCTGCGCCAATGGCAATCCGTGGGAGCTTTGCCTCCAGGCGGTAAAGCATGCTTATTTGCGCGCAAAAGTTTCCAGTGAGCCACCTTGTCGACATACTCCGCACATCAGACGGACGCGCTGTCCGATGGATGCCCGGCCGTAGATCGGCGTGGCGAACAAGAGCCAAGGTTCCTGCAGAGTGCTTCTAGCCAAGGAACAGAGCACAGCGGCACTATTTGCAGCAACAGAGACAGACCAATACATGACGTATAAAAGCTCGGTTCATTTCGGGTTTTCCTTTTTTTTTTTTTTTTTTTTCGTGCTCCCGTCTGCCCTTTCAACTGGGAGAAACAACAAATTATCATCCATCCACATCACCGCCATGTTCAGCCTCTCTGCACTCGCTATTTACGAAGACTGATCAACACAGTCCAGTCACCTCGCGATTCAACCCAGATTGCTGCTTGCCCACGGCGCTGGCCCACCCCATCTAAAGAGGCGGTCCAGACCAGCAAGAGAGGAGGGGGCGTGTGATTCTCAACCCCCGGCTGCGCTGGGGGTCATTACTCTGCAGCTTTTACGGATTACTGGCTGATATCACCTAGCCAATGGTAAATGAGCTGGAGGCCAGCACGATTGCACTTTTGCCGCCGCCACACAACAAAAGTCCAGCAGAGCAAGATGCCTTTCTTTGTTCGCTGATCGACTGGTACCAGTACGCATCTACCAGGCTGCGACGGCGTGCAGCAACCATGGCTCAGCTACCTTTTGGCTACACAGACAGTCGCTGCTGGTGAGCATCAATAATTGACGGGGGAAAAAAAACGACGCTGTAGCGTGGTTATTCAAGTAGCCGAGACCAAATTTCGGAACGCCGCTCGAGCCTGTGGTCTCACCCGCCACACTTTTCAATGCCACCAGCGTCTTGCTCATTCGCCGCATTATCAAGCTTTTTCACAGGACGCCAGGCGAGATTAGCTCCATGAAAGAGAAGAATCTCCGAGATTGGTGCCCCAGCTAGCTGCGGGCGTTGCAGAAAGCCCACACCCGCACCGCAGCCCAACGCTGTCAGCGACAACGGTTGGTCGCCAAAGTCGAAGTTCATGGAGAAATACCCCAGTTTGACTATCAATTTGGCTTCTTGCTTCTCTCTTCTTGGTATGTGCAAAGCATGTGATTGTCACTTTGAACCAGGTGTCTATTTGGGAGCTGCGGCATGACAAGCTGGCATACCGCCCGTTCCCCAATCGGATTTCCAAACCATCGAAACCAAATACTTTGGCCTGCAAAGGCTGGTAATTACTCGATCGAGCAACTATTTACAGGCCTGTTAGGCGAGCCGATATCATTTTGCTGGCGCCACAGCGGGAACGCGAACCGCAACACCGATGGAGAGTTCCTTGGAGTCGACATCGTGGTTCCGGGCATTTTGCCTCGTCGGCCCTGCGGTTATACCCATGCCCGGCACCTCCGTTCCTCGCCTTGTTTTTGTTTTTGAACAGGCTTTTTGTATTGTTCTCCTCGCAATCTACAAGTGGGCAGGTTCCACAGGCAAACATGGGTTCAAAGTGGACGGGCAAGGACGGACCGGCGGACGGGGCCCTGCTGGTTTCGAAACACGAGATTTTGTTACTTTGTAATCTGTATTACCAGTCAGTAGTTACTAGTCGACTGCCCCTTTCTATGCTCGAATCAGCTTTCGTTGGCTATTATTGCGGTCAAGCAGGCGCGCCGTGCCGGCGGCCCTGCTCTCCGACAGGTCCATGACCGCTTCTTTCTCAACGCTTCATCGTCAATCCCTCTATTCACCGCGATTTCATGAGTGGCTCGCAGTGCCCCCGCAATAGGATGCGTCGAGTATGTGGAGGGCTTCGGCTCGTACCACCAGCATATCTCATACTCCAAAAGCTCGTCCATTTTCTTCCTCTTGTATTATTTTGTTTGACTGGAATTTGCTGCCTTCGGCTCTCGGCTCCGATAAAGCTTGTTTCCACCCTGTGTCACTTATAGGGGCTTCTGACACAACTTGGCTCCGCTGAGCTTGTATCTCTACCAGGTCTTTTGTGCACTTCCTCCTCGTGGCCAGCTCCTCAATACTCACCATTCCAGTGCGCTTCTTTTCGTCTTCTCAACCACTTTTTAGACTTTTCTCCGCGACATGTGCGATCTTGTTTCCCACTCAAACACATCAGCTATCCAATCAATATCTTCGGCGCGTTGTCGACATGCCCGTAGTTGTTGTACGAACAAACTCCACCCGACACCCGAAGCCTGATGCGCGTTCTTGATGCTTTGCGCTGACTGTCGTCATGTTTCCGTGGCTATTGGTTCTCGAGTCTCCTCTTTTTTTGTTTCTTTTATGACTCGGGCCACTGGGACGCAAGACGAGACGAACTATTCGATGGACCCTCTATTACCACACGTCGCATTCCAGACGTTTCAGCCGTGAGACGCGAGGCTGTATCACTTACACAACGCGGAAACAACAAACGAACAACATGTGGTCTCCATTGTGATATCCGAGACAGGTTCAGCTCAAGCGTAAAGACAAGCTCTCGCCGGGATTACATACTCGCACAGCGCATATGTTGAGCGATGCGGCGATCAGAAGTCGAGCACAAATGCTGGCTGGCTAGCCCCGGAGTTCGAATTATGGTACAATTTAGATACCAGTAAATGTGGCCAGGTATCAGCCTTTTTTTTTTTCAACGTAGCTGCGACGTGATTTTACCACAGACCACGTTACTGCGCTTTCGGGTCGGTCTGTAATACACAATTCTCTCAGCTGCCCGTCGTAGTCATTGATCATTCAGTGTATGTACCTGTAGCTACCGGACTTCGTGGGACAGTATGTATTCGTGAGACTAACGATGTCTCGACATATGTCTTACTCAAGTGACCACTCATGCACACCCGTTCCCGCTATTTCAATATACTGAGCGGTCAAGTCACAGTTGGAAGCCAGAGCCGCGGTTGTATTCGTCAGCGTTTGGTTGTGTACGGAGATAAATCGCGCCTTTTGGTGAGTCATCTCCATTTCTAGGGGGGAAGAAGACCCTTGGTCATCTGCTTGATCTAGGTTGATGATGCTGGTGCGACGGGCTACCCGGTAGCTGATATCCTCTGGCTCGGCGCCATCACTCGCTTCTCTGGTCTTTTTGGTCAGTTTCTTTCTCTATCACCTGTTACTTTGCTCGCGGTTCCTGGAACCCTGAGTGCCGTTGTTATGTGTAGTTGACTGGTATTGTCAACTGATAGGGTTTTGGACTATTACTATTGTCCAACACATATACGGTGCGTTGTAGCACATCATGTTAAAATCCCCACATGATGTAAAGAAAATGGAGAAAAGGGAAAAGAAACTAACTTGACGCTGTAAAAGATGTTCAGAAGCTATAGCCATGCGATTTAACCAGATGTGTCCAGGCGAGAAATCGCTGCAGTGCTGGACAGTGCAATCGATTGGCACACAGTACAAACTTGACTGGCACTCGCCACACCAGGCAGCTTGAGCCACATTAGCGCAGTCACCACCAGCCACAGGCAGCGCTGCAACCTCAACCCCCACACTGGCACGAGACTGGCACCGACTTTTGTGAAATAGACGCACAACGCTCACACCACATCGCCAAATACACCGGTTTCCCAACCGACCCTGTCGCCTAAATTCCTCCGCACAGCCATCATCAACCCCAGACTGCCGTAGTTCCGCCTAGAATCTCTGCCTCTGCCTGGTCAGACGTTCTGCCTTGCCTGTTCCCGTCTTCCCAGGCATGTATCCGCGGTAGTCGTCCCCCTCCCCAATTTTCGAATCCCGCCACCTTGTCTACCATGTTGTGTGCTGTATGCCCAACGTTGCCAGAGTTATAGCAGCCTTCCCGAAAAGTTTCACACCAGTCCTCATCAAACATAGCTCGGGAATCAAACAAGTACCTGAGCTGCGCGCAACACATTTTTTCGTATATTTTTCTCCCAAGCCATGGAGGCTCAGGTATGATTCCGAAAAGACACAGTTTTCCCCTCGTGCCCCGCCGTTGTGACCGGCATCTGCGGTGACATTGCCGCGGGCACGTTGCAATGCACGCAGAGGAGCTTCTCTCCAGCTGCAGCTAACATTTTGCTGCAACATAGATCGAAAGAGTTGTCGATATCTTGTCGAACCCCCGATCTGACCAGTCCCTCCAAGGGCAGGCCCTCGAGTACTTAGGCCAGGTGCGGTCCGATCCGCAAGCCTGGCAAGCCTGCACCAACCTCTATGTTCGAACATCGCCCCGGGCATCCGACCTTGCCCGTATGACATGTCTTGAGATCATCAACTATGCTGTCTACAACCACGGCCTCGATACCGATAGCCTCAGCTACCTCAAGCAGACGCTGCTCGAATACACTCGCCAAACATACGGCCCAGATACTCAAAACGAACCCGACCAGCCGCACATACAGAACAAGCTCACGCAAACCTTGACGTACCTGTTTGTATTCCTGTACCAAAATGGATGGCAGTCATTTCTCGAAGATTTTCTAGCCCTCACCGGCATCGGCAACGGTGTCAACAACGTCCGCGGCACGCTCTTCTATCTCCGCATCTTGTCCTCGATCCACGACGAGATCGCCGATATGCTTCTCTCTCGCCAGAGTAACGAGTCTAAGCGTAACACGGAGCTCAAAGACCAGCTGAGAGCACAGGACATGCATCGCGTTGCTGACTCCTGGAAGCAGCTTCTTGCTCGTTACAGCGACAATGACGCTGTGGTTGAAATGGTCCTTCGAGTCATCGGCAAGTGGGCTAGCTGGATGGATATTTCCCTCATCATCAGCCAAGATATGCTCAGCCTTATCCTTCCCGTCGTCGGACGTCACCAGAATGAGGGTCGAGCTGACAAGGTCCGCGACGTCGCCATTGAGACGCTTACCGAGATTTGCGGTAAAAAGATGCGCTCTGCCGACAAGATGGAGATGATTTCTTTCCTTAGTCTCCAGAGTATTGTTAGTCAGCTCGTTGCCATGCCACTGCTGAGCGAATACCGTGGGACGTCCCAGTACGATACCGATCTTGCTGAAGTCGTCGCCAAGTTAGTCAACAGTGTAGTCTCCGATATCATTAGAGCACTCGACGATCCGCAGATTAGCGATGATACCCGATCTCGTGCAAAACAGCATCTCAACGACTTTCTTCCATTGCTACTCCGCTTCTTTACTGATGAATACGACGAGGTCTGCTCTACAGTCATTCCTGCTCTCACCGACCTCCTCACATTCCTCCGTAAGCTCGGACATCTTCCCGAAGAGTACAACAGCATGCTTGCGCCCATTCTCGATGCCATTATTCGGAAGATGCGATACGACGAAACTTCTTCGTGGGGAAATGAAGATGAACAGACAGACGAGGCCGAGTTTCAAGAGCTGCGAAAGAAGCTACAGAACTTGCAAAAGACTATTGCTGCCATAAACCAGCCTCTCTACATGGACATGCTGAGCAACCTGGTCGCCACAACCTTTCAGACCCTCAACCAACGAGGGTCTGACATGGACTGGAGAGATCTGGATCTAGCTCTGCACGAGATGTACCTCTTTGGAGAGCTTGCGTTGCCGAACCATGGCCCTGGCACAAAGAATCAGCCTTCTAGCGAGGCTTCCGAGCGCTTGGTGGTTATGGTCACAAAAATGGTAGAGTCTGGTACGTCTGTTGATGAATCGCTCTGATGGAAAATTGCTGACAAGTTACAGGTATTGCCAGCTTCTCGCATCCGGCCATTTTGCTCCAGTACATGGAAATATGTGTCCGATACAGCGCCGTTTTCGATACCAACACACAGTACATTCCGCAAGTGTTGGAGAACTTCGTCCGATTAGTGCATCACGAACATGTACGACTCAAGACACGCTCGTGGTATCTCTTTCATCGATTCATCAAGCAGCTTCGCGGGCGGGTAGGCAACGTCGCCGAAACAGTCATCCAGTCTATTGGGGACCTACTGCCGATTAAGGCTGAGGTCCCGGGCGAGGATGCGGACGATGACATGTCCTCGGACGAATCTGATCACTCTGCCGATGCCCTCTTCACTAGCCAACTATACCTCTTTGAGGCCATTGGGTGTATTTCGTCTACTTCCAGTACCCCTGTCGAAAAACAGGCGCTCTACGTTCGATCAGTGATGGAGCCACTTTTTCAGGATATGGAAGTACACCTGCCTCGTGCCAAGTCTGGCGATGCCCAGGCCAACCTCCAGATCCATCACATCGTAATGGCCCTCGGCACGCTAGCACATGGTTTCTCTGACTGGACACCTGGGTCGACAAGCAAAGAGCACACTCCGCCGGATAAGGTGGTGGCAGCTGAGTTCTCACGAGCCGCAGAGGCTATTCTCATCGCACTGAGCCAACTCAATTCCTCCTGCGAGATTAGGACAGCCTGCCGTTCAGCATTCTCCAAGCTTCTCGGTGTTCTGGGCGCTGCCGTTCTCCCTCAACTCCCCCAATGGATTGATGGCTTACTTTCACAGAGCTCATCCAAAGATGAAATGGCCATGTTCTTGCGCCTGCTGGATCAAGTCGTGTTCGGCTTCAAGGCGGAAATCTACGACGTCTTGAATGCTCTGCTGACACCTCTGCTCCAGAGAATCTTTGCCGGACTGACAGAGCCGATTCATGGAACAGACGACGAAATCCAGCTTGCCGAGCTTCGACGCGAATATCTCTCCTTTATCCAGATTATTCTCAACAACGGACTTGAGGGCGTGTTGATCAGCGAAGCCAACCAAGGCTACTTTGAGTCTTTGATCTCCTCTGTCATTGAGCTAGGGAAGATTCTGGAAGGCAATTTGGGACCGTCCCGACACGCGTTCACCATCCTATTGCGCATCTCCTCTATTTGGGGCGGACCTGATGTAGCTACGATCTCGCAGAACCCGACTGCGCCAATAGGCTCGGCTAGTCCTGTCATACCTGGCTTTGATCAATTCATGATCGATCGTTTCCACAACGCATGCTGGGAGGTGCTACGCAATCCCAACTTCCGTCCTGGGCAGGACGCGCAGACGAAGCAGATTTTGGTGGAGATTGCTAGCCTGGAGCAACTCATCTACACCAAAACTGGCGACGCTTTTATCCAGAACCTACAGAATGGAGTGTTTGCCAGCCTCGGTATCAATGGAGACGAATTCCTGCGGTCACTTACTACGTCGACCGACAAGAAGCAATTTCCATCATACCTGCAGGGGCTGCTCAAGAGCCGCCAATAGATGGAGCTGTCTTGAGGCTACATTCTACTAGACGGATATCTGAAGATTGATGTAGGCCTACCGACGAGAAAATCTTGAAGAGGTGGTTACTGGCATGAGAAAGATGGATATTGACTGGGAAGAAAGTTATGTTTATCGTCAAACAAGAATTAATCAAAGGAGTTGCGGAATGGACTAAAGATGAACATAGACAAATCAAAAGACATGAAAACAATACCCAAGAAAGCAATCGAGTTGTTTACTGTACCCCCGTTTGGGCAAGTCTATCATGGATGTACACTACACGTGACCATGTTCTACATGATTCACCTACCTTGAAGCAAGAGATCTTGGAGGGTGACTAGAGCAGGTGATTTGCAGAAAATTCTGCCATCGTAGCATCGATTCGAGTCTATGAAAAGCCTCTTAATGGCTTTTGTTGAGAGTGATGGATGCTGGAAAATTCTTCTCAAGCCAGCTCGTGGGTGGGTGCTTGCCAACCACTTGTGCCTCAACTTGAAGGGTGCTATTCCATGTTGGTCATGACCAACAGGGCGTTATTGCTGCTCACACAGATCGGGGAATGGCTTTTTTTCCCCGCTGTCAAACGCCACCATCGCGGGGACCCCAGTGCGTACCTTTTTTGCAAACGCCACCACCCCCTGGGACCCTGTTTGTGACTTTTTCAAGTGCACTCGACTTACTTTTCTAGAGATATGCTAAGCGGACCGACTCACTTTACTTGGTGAACATTTCAAGTGCAATGATTATTTTTGGTCCATTTCTTGACTAGTTGAGCTGGAAATACCAGGCCAGTTCCCTCGAACATTATCAGCGAGGTCTACACTAATGGAAGTTGAAAGCCGTTGTCCAGTGCAACGTAAGGCTCTGATATTCAGGCACAACTCCTACAAGTAGCAATAACATTCAAGGCGGGGAAGGGGCTGGTAATCTCGCAGAGATTTCAAGAATTCAAATTTTGCAGCATTGCCAGTTTTTCTTTTGGGAAGGAAAGGGCGCAGGAGTGGGTAAGTCTTAGGCCTCAATGACCCTTCCTTTTCCCAGTCTTGGATGACTGTCGAGAACAGAAGGACCTGACCAGTACATCGAACTTTGGTAGATAGACCATGTCATCTTTTGTACTTTTGATGACTATTTGCCAATGCAGGGGTCTGGCGAGGGAATCGAGATGGTGGAAGCCATCTCGCTTCAATTTCTTCCGTCGTAGACTTAAGCCACCAGGAAGAAGCAAAACTGCAATTGAAAAGACAAACGAGGCTCGAGACTGTCATGAAGAATCTGAAAACTATCAACTGGCGCCGCCACAGGCCAGAAGAAACCCGCACAAGCCTGCTTATGGACAACAGAACCTGTCAACTGACGCGCCGCGGGGGAGAAGCAGAAATGCAACTGAAAAATTTGAATGAGGCTTTAAGCCTGCTTTGAAAAATTTGAAGACTATCAATCGAATCTGCCACAGTCTAGATCAATGCTTGACTTGTATCTGTGAACATCAAAGATGAGGAAGGCAGAGCCTACAGACGCAGGCAGCAGTTGTTGGCCTCGACAGAAGTATGTGAAGTCTTGGCATCAACTCGGCCGCATGCTTCTCTATATGCTCCAATTGCTCCCAAGTATCCTGCTCTTTTAGCCAGTATGCAACCGTTTCTTTTAATCCAGGAACAAACATTCGTTCAGGTACCCAGCCACACGCAAGTCCAACTGCAAACTTTTCTGCTTCCGCCACCCTTTCCTTTTGTCGCGGGGCCCCGGAATGCCACAAAAGACTCTTTCGAGAGAGAAAAGAATCAATGTTCCATGTAGAGCTCATAGCTGCAATCAGAAAAACTACTTAAACCCCTTCCCCCCCCGAGGTTGTCGTGCCTTCCTCCCCCTCCCCCCCAAACCAATCTCATGCTACTCGAGGCTTTTCTCCTTCTAGTTGCTACCCAAAACTTATCACCGCTCACAAGTACAACTGCTCACAAGCATAACTGCTCACACACACAACTGCTCAATATCACAACTGCTCAATATCACAACTGCTCAATATCACAACTGCTCATTATCACAACTGCTCATTATCACAACTGCTCAATATCACAACTGCTCACAATCATAACTACTCGGAATTATCACTGCTCACAATCTGCCCGCAAACTCCCAATTGCTCATCTGTCTACTCAGAGACACTGTTCATTGGTGGGTACACGGAAAAGTCGAGACATTATAAAAGTGCCAATCAAAAAATCAGGGGAAAATGTCAGGATTCGGCTTTAATGATCCACAGGGATTTGCTGGCAATCAGCAACAACCCAACCAGCTCATCCAACAGGCTGTCGGATATATTCCCATGAGTTTTAACAACATGAACTCTGGCCCAGTCTGCCACGGACAGACAATGAGCAACTGGCCCATGGATCAGGCTCAACCTTCCATGCACCCGACATCTCTCATGCCCACGGCATACGACTCTCCATTTGCCAGTTGCGGACAGCAGATGCAGACTGCCGCCTCCAGACATACACAGTCTAGCACGATGTACGTGGGACAGGCAAATCTGATGCAATCTAACGACATGTTCATGAGAAATACTCAGTCTGGCATGATGAACATGGAGCAGATGCCCACAGACAACATGCAGGGTGTCATGAACATGAGACAGGCGCAGTCGATGCAACCTAACGCCATGTCTATGGGCCATACTCAGTCTGGCATGATGAATATGGGGCAGACGCAGTCGACGCAATCTAACGACATGTTCTTGGGACAGACTCAACCGGGCATGATGAATATGGGACAGACGCAGTCGAAGCAATCTAACGACATGTTCTTGGGACAGACTCAGTCGGGCATGATGAATATGGGACAGACGCAGTCGAAGCAATCTAACGACATGTTCATGGGACAGACTCAATATGGCATGATGAACATGGAGCAGATGCCAACAGACCACATGCAGGGTGCCATGGACATGGGACAGGCGCAAAATCCCGACCCATTGCAAGGTGTTGACTTCACAGCACAGCTGACGAGCACGCAAAATGCCAGCCAACAGTTTCCAAGCATGCAGTATCCAGTCATGCAGCAGACTCCAAGCATGCAAACCCCGCACAAGCGGGCAATTCAGAAGCAGTCTCGATCTCGCAAATCAACTGCTCAGACCATGCAAGGCGGTCGCAACTCTGCTGGCAAGCGCCCGCCGCCTCGTCCTGTTGAAGTCCTTGACGCTTTGCTCCAGGAAAAGCAGGCAGAGGGTAAACTATTGGAAGGCAATAAACCCGAATTGTTAAAGCTCAGCGCCGAAACAGCGGAACTACGCAAAGAAAGAGAGAAATCCAAGATGGCAGAGAAGATGAGAATATGCAAAGAGAGAAATGAGGCGGCTCTGGCGAGCCGAGGCCAGTCCCAGGAGACTGTGGATCATGTGGAATCTTCTGCGACTCCGAAGCGCCAGAAGAGAGCCGCAGCCGCAGCCGCAGACGTCGAGAAGTCCCCTGAAACATCGTCTGAAGAGACTTGCCATGCGTCTATCTTTACCACGCCTGTTCCCGCCATCCAGACGCCCCCTTCAACGCCAGCTGGTGCGTCTGGTCTCAAATTCCCTATTTCTCAGACTCGCGGGGCCATGTGCATCAATCCTTCTGCTCTCGCTATTACTACTACTACTACTGCCGAGCCTATCCAGCAGCAGTCTTTGGTCAACGGTGGCGAGCTTCTTCCTAGAGCAGTGGCCATCAAGCCTTCTGCCGCCGCCGTGCCCAAGACCGTGTCTATTCCACAGCAGACTCCTGCCAATAGTCTGATGCTTCCTCCAGGAGCTGTGTTCGTCAATCCTTCTTCTTCTTCTTCTTCTTCTTCTTCTTCTTCTTCTTCTTCTTCTTCTTCTTCTGCTGCTGCTGCTGCTGCTGCTACTGCTACTAATACTACCGCTACTCCCCCTTCTCGCTATTACTGCTGCTGCTGCTGCTGCTGCTGCTGCTGCTGCTGCTGCTGAGGCTCCAGCTAATGCCACCGCAAATGACGCCCAAAACCAGGCCGATTGGCTCGCATTCGCTCCAGTCAGACAGTTTCTTTACAAAAATGAGAATACTGAGGAGCAGGCCATGCTACCAGAGGCCAATGACGCCGCCAAGGAGGAGCATGTGCCGACCATGGACCTGAATGCAGACCTCTTGGGGAACGAGCATCTGTTGCCCATGGACTTGCTTGATGACCTCTTTGGGGAAGCTCCAGCGCCGCTCAAAGACCTGAATACTGACCCGTTTGGGGCCGAGCATCTGTCGCCCATGAACTCGAATGCTGAGCTCTCTGGGGACGGGCCCGTGCCGCCCATGCACCAGACTGATAATCTTCTTGGCACAGAGGAATATCAAGCTGGGCAAGAATTGTCTGAAATGCTCGAGGAAGCTATTGAGCGCAGACAGGCGGAGGACGCAACTGAGGATGGTGAGACATGGTAAGGAAGAATGGGCTGGCTAAATACAGTCTATGTGGAGGAAACAAGAGTCGGGATATCATCGTTTTGGATGATCTGGTGGTTGTCGAAGAAGTGGAAGTATCTTTACTTGTTGACTGGTGTTTTCATTCTTGCGTTACTCGGGGCATTGCTGACCCCTACGCCAATACCCTTATTTTTTTTGCTATTACTGCAATGCTCTCAAGATGAAGGGCACGATACTCAGCTGTCCGCGGCAACCACGTTTCTTTTTGATCAGCGTTGCTTTTCACCCAGCGTTTCTTTTTGATCAGCGTTGCTTTTCAATCAGCGTTTCTTTTTGATTAGCAATTCTTTGTAATTGGCAGTTCTTGGTAATTGGCAGTTCTTGGTAATTGGCAGTTCTTAGTAATTAGCAATCAGCAAATCTCAATAAACTCATCTTCTTTGCTCTGCTTGTTTCCTCTCAAAGTGCTTGCCCACTCTTTATTGATGAGATGTTACCAGGCTATAGGCATAAGAGAGAAAGAGTTAATTAATCAATCTATGTATGACTGTAGACTACTGGCAGATATATACTCTTCTGGCTGTGGTTACGGGGGATCGTTCTTCCGGTCAACATTTATTCCCCGATTCTCTTGACTTGCCTTCTTCACTTTCTATCTTTCGCCCTTCCCTTTTTGCGCCCCTCTTCCTTGTAATGCGCCTCTGTATGCACTCTATAAGAACAAAAGGCCGAATCTAAATACAAGAGAGTCAAGAGCAATCTCTGGATGACGTATCTATGCAGAACTGTAGGCGCTGTAGAGACAAACATTCGAAACCTACTCCTCCTTTGTACTAACGTTACTGTAAAATTGTATTGGATGAATATGAAGAGATAAAGATAAGATATAGGCGTTCTACTTTTGTTGCGCTCGTCTTTTGTCTGAGGCTTACAGAATTAAAAAGAGAAGTGTCAAGGAAACCAGAGACGAGTCGGTGTAAGGGAAATGTACAGAATTAGCGGTTTAAACGTGTCCCTGATTGGACCGCAGTTTCGTTGCTCGATACGAGTAAGGCGCTCGACAGAATCGCGTGGGTGACTTTGGAAGAAAAAAGAGCAGCAACAATCGAGCGACAGTACCGATGACATAACTGACTTAAACAATGTAGCCGTCAGCAGCAATGTTGCGCCAGCTCCGCACGCCGCTCGATTCCTCCAGCTCAACACACCACCAGAGCACATCCTTGGCCTTGTCGGGCTGTCCACTCTCCTCGTAGGCGCGTGCGAGCGCAAACCACGCTTCCGACGAGTCCCATGCCGTCCCCAGCCTCGTGAGACCTGAGAGGAGCGTGTAGGCGCGATCGCGGGCGGCCAAGCGGTCGGACAGTGGTAGGCTCGTTGTCTTGTAGGGCGCAGGGAGGTCATCGCCGCTGTCTTTGGCGCGCTTCAAGACGGACGTCGGGTTCGCACCCGGAGTCGGAATTGGCTCGTTATCAGCGGCGTTTGATGGCCCCAAGCCAAGTGCGATAGAGGGCAGTGAGGCTGTGGCAGCGGAAGCCGCCTTGCGGTGCTCGTAGAGTGCAATGCTGGCTGGGTCCGACGCAACCTCGCTGTTCGCCAGTGCTGGGATGGCAGGTTCGGGAAGCAACTTCTCGCTGTAGATGTCGAGAAGAATGTTGGACAAGCCAATGGTAGCGGCGGGGTGGTCAGGGCAATGCGTCAAAGCATTCTCGAACTCGGCCCGGGCCTCAAGCGGTCTGCCTGCGGCGAGGGCTAACGAACCAAGCTATCAAGGTCAGTCAGCATATTGCGGGTTAAAAGCAGTGTGCCCAAATCACATACCTCAGATGCTACATCACCCCACAAAGCTTCGATGCTCTTCTTTTCGGCCCAGACGGTAGACTTTGCGGCTCCAATGATTGAGGGATCGCGAGTCGACTCAGTCTCCAAACCCTGCACTAGTTTTTGTGCCTCTGCAATAGCAGCTTTGCACTCTTCCAGCATATTCGCACGACGATAGAAACCCGCAATCATTTCCCAGACCTTGACCAAGACCGCTGTGCGTCTGCACCTCTCCCTTTCCTTGGAGAACACCACCAGCGGCAGCAGTTGTGACGGCACATGTGTCATTTCCAGAGACAGATCCGAAAACTCTGTGCCTTTTGACGTGATGGAGCCCCGCGAGGTGATGGAAGAAACTGTCTTTTCGCGAGTGAGAAACGTCGAAGACATGGCGATTGGTGGTCCTCTCGGCGCGTCGGGCTGGCTTCCATCCGGATTGGGCGTGAAGAAGGGCTCGCCGTCAACGTGGCTGTTCCAGTGGGGCAGAGTGCCATTGGTAGACGTCTTCCCTCTACTCTGGCTGCGATTTCTCTTCTTGAGACTGTTGCGTCGCGGAGCATCTCCAGGGCCAATGCTGGCGCGGCGGGATGTCGGTGGCCGCGGGGTCTCATCTGTAACCTGGATGGCGGGTGCCACCGTTTGTGAGGTAGGGGGCCTGAGGGGAAGTCCAGTAACTCTTTCGCTCGGAGTCTCATCCGACTGCCTCGTTAATGCCCGCGATTTCTCCTTGGATTGAAAGATGCTGCCACGCAGGCTGCTACGACCGGAGCCGATCTTGGAACCAGCGTCAGATTGCGTGTGCACGCTTGGCGGGGCCGAGACATTGCCAAACAAACGAGTAAAGAGTGACAGGAGCTCGTAGCTAGCATTGACTGCAGCATTAGGCCCATCCTGTAGTTCGATGAGGGCCAGTTGTGTCATCTTCACTTCAAGAAGCTCCTCCTTTTCGAAATCGTCCATCTCGTCTACTAGTCCACTATGTACTTCTGTTGAGATACTCTTTGCTTCGGCGTCATTGAGGTGCTCGCTCTTGAAGCCTTCCGTCTTGCCAAAGAGAATAGAAGGATCCTTGAATTGCTCAACAGCGCCGTCGCAAGCTCTACTAGCCATGGCGTAGTCTTGACGAGCGCTCAGCAGCAGGGCAAGAAGATGCCACATGGGAATGAGCGACCTCTCTTGCCAGTAGGGACCACTATAGAGCTCATCGTTGGTGGTGCTCTCATCACGCTTGGCGGACATGAGCGTGGATCGGACAATCTCGATTGCGGTGGAGAGTTCTTTGCGCTCAGCAAGGAGCACACCGAGGGCGAAGATGCTGCGAGTATCTTTTGACCGGCCAAATTCGGAAGAGAGAGACTTTCGTAAGCACCGGATCGCCTTGGACTGAATCTCAGTCCGGGACCCTGCTTCGTATGTTGAGCGAGACCAGTGAGCGTGAGACAGACCTATGGCCTGCCAGGCGAGCGCAATGACGCGGGGCGGCACATAGCTACTGGAATCGTTCCCGGCTTGGTTCAGTGGCAGCCTGGCAAGCCAGTCTTCAAGCTCAGCACCAAGCTGGCGAGCTTTCTCTGCAGACTTGTGGTGCCCGTAAAGGCAGAGGGTCATGATGGCCTGAGCCATGGTTTCCAAAACAGTGGCATCGCCGTCTAGGCTAGGCTCAGCAATGCCGGTCTTGGCAATACGAGCTTTGCCTTTGCTGACGATTTCGAGGTACGAGTCCAGGGCTTTGAATGCAAGATCGAACTCGGCAACGGCGACATGAACGGTAAATAATGATCGGAGAATGAGTGTGGAGTGATAGGTCTTGGTTGCAGCGCCGTACAAGGTTTCGAGGACGCCGCGACTGATGCCGGCGCGACCACCCTGTCCGAGGTCCTTTTCACTCCATCCACGACCACAGAGAATAGTCCAGTTGTCCATGACTTGCTGAACGAATTTCTCTACTTCGGCGCGGTGCTCATCGGCTCGAGGAAACGTTGTCTCGGACAGGAGAAGTCTTTGGTAGGAGGCCTCGACGCGCCTGAGCTCCATTCGCAACTGGGTTCGAGCCGGCGTGTCGGGAGTGACATTACCGAGGTTGGCAGTAGGGAATGCGTCGTCGTTGAGAAGATGTTTGGAGAGTCCCTGGTAGTATTCATTCCATATCGCTCGGCGAGGGACGGATGTGGCGGAGCCCTTGAAGCCAAAGCCGCCAGTGACGGGAGCGGACATGGCTTCCCAGTAGCGAGCCCAGGCGCGGAAGCAGGAAATGGAGTTTTGTTGGTCGAATGTGGCGTCTCCTTGACGAATGGATTGACTAGTCAGGGTGCAGTATTCGGTCAGGTACAGCTCGGACCAGTACTTGAGCTGGGAGTGGACGGGCTGGCCGCCCCAAACGCGGTCGAGGGAGGGCAGGCCGGACTGGAAGGCGGCGAGCGCCGACTGACGATTGCTGTCGCGCATGAGACAATTGGCGCGGAGGTAGGCAGACTTCATGGCGCAGACGCTGGTCCACTCGGTCAGGGACTCACGGCCATCCTGGGCAGCTTCGGCGAGGCCACTAGGAAGATGGTCGAGGGCGAGGGTATATTCGGCAACGACCCAATACATCCAGCCGACACAAACACGAGCCTGAAATGCATCTTGGGGGTGGGCCGTCTCGCCGTCAATGGCAGCGTGCAACTTGGGTATGGTGGCATCGACATTGAGCGTCTCGATAATAGCGGCTATAGAGGGGCGCTCGGAGCCCGTAGTCGCGCTGGAAATGGCACATTCCGTTTCGGCAGTCACGGCGAGGCCTAGGAGGCAGAGTAGGTTAGCAAGAGCTCGAAGAGGCAATGGAGGAGCTTCGGTAGCCTACATTCTCGCTGGGGAGCATGCTTGCGCACTTTGCGAATGAATTCGGGGACAGCAGCCCAGTCGCCTCGACAGCGAGCATTGTCAAGCTGCTCAATGTAGCTGGCAGCCTTGGTCTGAGAAGCGGTGTCAGTTCGCCGAGCAAGGTGGCCAGACGTGCAGGAGAAAGAGCAGGATGAACAGACCGTCATGATTGCGCAGAGACTCCGACGCAAGGGACTGGGAAGCGCAACGTGGGCTGTACTCTGGTCAAGTCAGGAGAAGGTCGGCTGGGCTGTTTAGTTAGGTGACGATGATGCGTGGTGCCAGGTGGTGGCACGGTGGGTCGCTGATCGGGGGCAATCACAGCAAGGAACAAGGGCACAAGCGACGGCCTAGCACATGGTGACACTGCGACTGGGAAGAGCGGGAGGAAACGGCAGCCAACGAAGAGTCTGCAGATGCAATTACCCCAGAAAATATTTAAGTTTGCAGGCAATGGCATCTGTGAGGCGGAACCGGGGGGACTTGAGGGGTGGTGGGAGGTTTAGCCCAGATTTCTACCTAGGTAGGTCCGTGACAGCAGGCGAGCCTCGGCCCCGGAAAGGCGCTGAAACAGGCCACTGAAGGAGCTGAAGGTGCTGTCGAAGAGTGTTTGGCAGGCGACTTGGAGCCGTTTTCTAGCGGGTTTCCAGGGATGTTCTGCCAGGCGTCTGCTAGCTTCGATTGCAGAGCCAATCAGCGCTCTTTTGCGGCCCCATGGTCCCTTGAACCCCACAACAGCCTCGCCTGCGGCGTCCTCGACTGCCAAAAAGATACACATGTGGTTGAGACCAGCCATGCCTGTGAGACCGACGGGTATCTACCAAGTACAGTTTAAACATGAACCTACTTGGATTGATTCAGAGCTTTGGAAGTCGTGGGATTAGAAAATTTGCACATTTTCTAAACTCTGTCAACTCTCGAACTGCCTAGGTACTTACCTAAGGTACAGGTAGTGTGATTGACACCGCTGTACCTGGCATGATCGAACCGTGGTGCCCTTCACCTGCAGCGCTTCCCCCACCTGTAGCTCTGGTGGGCCGCTGCTAGACCAACCTCACCTCCAAAAAAAAAAATTATCGTCACTGTCGACGGCAATACCTCTGCAGCTTCGTTCTGCACCTCTCCTATCCCAGGTCTGCTCTAGCATTGGTCCCTACTGCAATTGAACTCTTCTCAATTTCCCTACTTTTTTTGTCTTCCGACCAAACCCCTTTCCCCCGTATCCCCACGCGACAGCTATCGACTTAGGCCTTGGATATCCGATACATCCCATTACCAACATTACCAACGTTCTACGACTGGCTCTGGTGGCCTTCAATGGCGCCACAATGCCCCCCTGATCTGCGCGTTCTCTGCCACAAACTCACCACCACGCCGCCCGACCTGCTGCCTCGCCAGTTGCCTGCTCTCTCTCGCAATGTCTTGCGCTGCAAGGATGTTCTGGCCGCGCAGCATGATGCCAAGAACAAGGAGGACGCCACGACATCAACTCTAGTCCACAAGTTCAAGAGAAGCATCACGACGCTGCTGGAAGGCCGGAGCCGCGATGGTCGCTTTGCTGCTGTCGTTCTCATCAAGGCCGTTGTCGACGTCGGTGGCTGGGAGATTCTTCGCACCGCCGGGCCTTGGGTAAACGGCCTTCTCTCCATTGTCCAGGTATGAAGCTTCGCAATGACATTTAGTGGTGCGAATACTAACAATCTGCAGAAAGGAGACCCCATTGCCTCCAAAGAGCTTGCCATTGTCGTCATCACTCGCATCTATATTCTCCTCCAGCCTTATCAGACCCTCATTCGTGAAATAGCCACTCCTACCATCCCGGCCTTTGGAACTGCATGCGTTCAGCTGCTCAAAGCATATGCTTCAACCCCGCCGCACGTGTCCGAGACCATCTGCACAGCGTTGTACACTCTGATTCCTCACCATCCCGCAACTCTCCGCCCTCTCAGCTCGCAACTGCGAACCGCTGTGAGACCCTATCTTGCGCCCACCTGCTCAGACGCCATCCATGTTCCTGCGAGCTTGTCCCATGCCGCCAGAAGACTTGTCATTTCTATGCATTTCGTTGCCGCCAAGTCTAGCGGCAGCGACGAATGGGGCAAGCTAGTCGATACTATCCTGCGTGATCTTCATCAGACGGCCGACCAGGTCTTACGTGCAGTCGACGAATCATGGCAACCTACCAGTGGTTATGACAGGACTCGAGTATCGACTGGCGGTGAGCCCCGGGGAGGAGACGAGTCTAGTCCTGAGCAGCTTCCCTCATGGGTTGGAGTCACGGCCGGAGCTGAGCGCCTGGCTGGTCTATTCTCTTACTTGGAGGATACATTGAGATGTACAACTAAATCAGCCGTTACTATCCCTATTGGCGCATATCTGGATGCTATCTGTCGCATCTGTGTTATTGCCCGACTATCACCAAAAACACAAACGTGGGATCAGGCTCTGGACACGAGCGCCGGCGTTGGCCGAGACGAAAAAGATGAGCTATGGAGCTCTGTGCCAACTCTCCACATTGCCGCCATGTCTCTGTTACTGACCATGGTTCAGCAACTCGACCGCGACATGATTCCCCTCGTGCCCGAGGCCGTTGACCATCTTGTGCGAGTTGTCAAGTCTGGCATGGGCCTCGCCCCCATCCGAGCCATTGGCTACCAGGTCCTCGACCAACTTCTCAACATCGCGGGATCTACAATGCCCAAGACCACCGTCGACATGCTTGACCCCATCATGGGCGCTTGCTGCCGCGACCTCCAGCAAGACGCTGGTGTCCTCAAGCCCGCGGAGAAGCCCGCACCGTCCGCCAAGGACGCCAAGAAGAATGGAGGCAGCGTTGCCATTGCCAACGTGGACCTCTTCCTGGCTAAGCCAGACGCCAACGCCCCCGATACCAACCTCAAGCTTGAGTCTGCTCACAGAAACTCTGCCTCGAAGCTTCTGGCCACGCTGCTGTCGTCTCTGACGCAGGGTCATCTCAAGCCGACGATGCGTGGCCTCATCGACAAGACTGCCATCGTTACAGCGAATCGCGATGCCATGCTATCCAGCGTGCTCAACCCTTACAAGGACCAGCGCGGCCGCCTGTATCCCAGCATTTTGCCCTATTTGTGCCGACAGTACCCTGAAGACCAAGGTCTCGAGATCTTGCGCAGCAACCTCCGCACGAGCAGCCTCAACGGCTCCGGCGACATGTTTGCCAGCTTTCAAGAAGTTGTAGAAGAGCAGGAGGAGGACGATGATGAAGAAGCAGACGCAGACGAAGAAATGGCGGACGGCGACGTTGCCGCTACCGATTTGGGTTCCGCAGGGGCCTCCAAAGGGGATGAAATATCACAGCTAGGCTCTCTGACATCCCTTCCCAAGAAGAACGGTACCGAGACCCCGCAAGAGAACCCCTTTGCCGCACGGAGCAGTGTGGCTGACAATGGCTTCTCTGCCGTGACTTCTTCTGACTCGCCGTCGAAGCGCAAGCACGACGGCTCGGACGAGGCGGCGCCGGCGAAGCGTCTAGAGGTTGGGAAGCCCGCGGAGCTTCCCAAGGCCAAGCCTGCAATACCGGCGCTGGCGGCGAAGCCTGCAGAGGACGAAGAGGACGAAGATGATGACAGCGATGTGAGCGTACATCTGAACATGGAGCTCGAGGATGACGACGAGGATGATGAATAAATAGTACATAGACTGTCATTTGTTTTGCATACCAGGGGTAGACAAAAGCCCATGTCGACGATTCAGTTTCAATAAATTACCAGCCTACTCTGTACAAACTCATGAATGGGTATATAAAATACATCGAGTCTATACCAAAGTCCTTTAAAAACAGCGCCATTCCTAATTATTCAGAGTGCAAGTATCAAACCGCCGATTCCAACGCCTCGACAATAAAGAAAAAAAGGCATTGCAAAACATGAAAAGACATGACAACCTCCTGCGACAAAAATCCAACTTTCCCGCGCGCTCTCAGTCCCGCAGCCACGCCCTGCGCTTCTCCTCCTTGCGCGCGCGCCGCTTTTCCTTGAAAGCCTTGACCTCTGCCTTGCTCGGCTTCTGGTTCTGTCGCTCCGCCTTGAGACTGCGGCCGTCGTGTGCCTTTGACGCCGCGTCCGCGTCAAAGTACGCATTCATCTGCCGATACGCCTTGGCTTCGTCGCTGTGCCGCCCGGGTCCCATGTCCTCGGACTGGAAGCCGCCGCTGTAGCGGTTAAACGTTGCCGTTGCGGCGTACAGTTCAGCTGCCGCCGCCGCTCCCGAGATGCCATTCGCTTGTGCGTCAATACCGTCCTCTGCTTCCTGCGCGCCCTGGGCGTACCATGCATTGGGGTCGTAGTCGCCGTGGATGGCCGGGTTGTAGCCGCCGGCGGCCGGTTTCTCGTGGATCGGGGGCTGTGGTAGCATCGCGGCGGCGGCGGCGGCGGTCGTACCGGGTGCTACGGAGGCGGCGACTGCTGGCACGCGGGGGTTTTCCCATTGCGTCTTGCCGGTGAAGCGGTTGTAGAAGAACCACGCCTGCGTGCGCGCGTCAAATTGGCAGTCCCAGCCGTCGTCCTGGGGCACGGGCTCGCTCGGCAGCGGGGGGCCGCCGGGTGTCGGCTCGTCAGGCAGCGGGGGCGCCGTGGATTCTAGCTCGCCATCTTCAAGATCCTCCTTTGTTGTGGCGGCTTTGTGGTCCACTGCATCATCATCCTTAGCGGGAGAAGCTGTCGTCTTTGCGCCACCCGCGCTCTCGTCGTCGTCAGCAGCAGGATCTGCGTCAGATGTGCTTTTGCTTTCTGGAAGGTCTAATTGGGAGCGCTCCTGAGTTGCGTTCTTCACATCTCCTGCGTGAGCTTCCGGAGCCGGTGACGCCATTTTCGAGCTGTTGTGCTGTGCTGGGAATAATCGTTGCAGCGTGGGGTGCGTTGTTGCTGGTGGCGACGTTCTCCTGTAATCATATGCAGTGGTGAGCGTCTAGAAAAGTGGCCGTCATCGTGATACGTGGGCACCTGTGAGCAAGAAAACAGAGGCGATTGATTCGAGTCTCTGTTGCAGGTCAAGCGTCCGGTGACGTCTGCAATGTTGCGCGGCGCGAAAAGGTTTGGAGGTGCGACGTTGTGGTGCCTGGCAGGCTTGCAGGGATGGCTCCTGGTGTGGGCAAAATAATCGTCATAGCTGGATTCGGTGGGCGGTGAGCTGGACCTGCATTTCATCACGTGTAAGTCTTGCTTGGTATGGGAATCATGGGAACCTTCATTGATTAGGCACATCCGATTATCGGTAGACAATTTAGTTCTTAGTTGAGAAAAATGGTTTCTCAGAAAGGTCTCCATGGTGAAATCTTGCCATCTCCGGCACTTGATGTACTTGTGACGACCGTAATACTGCCATTACAACTAACAACGAGGACCAAGTAATAAAAGTTAAAAGAAGGAACGTGGTTGAATACTGGCAGGATATAAATGAAACAAAATAAGAAGAATCAGATTGTAAAAAAGACAAGGGAAAAGTAAGGCGGCAAAGGAGCAGAGAACGACGAAAAAAGGCAAAAAAGAACAAGCTAGACAACTCGTATTGAGTTGCTCACGGCAGGGATTGAACCTACGACCTTCGCATTACTTAGATTGAACAGTTGCCCAATATTAGTACGACGCTCTAACCAACTGAGCTACGCGAGCTCCGTCTCTGTTGAAAGACCTTGACTTATCTAACTATAATAGGTGCATGCTGGAGTTGTTTTGACTCATTCATGTATTCTGTCCATTGCACAGCGGTCACAACGACTCACAGATACATTATATGAGAGTGGTGGTCTTTGGTCACCGCCTCAACGAATTCAACTTCTTTTCCTACTACACATATCATCACCTGCATAAAAACAGTTTTATAGGGATATTCAATGTCTATTGAATTGGGCTGGATGATGGCGACGGTACGACCAGTGCATCGCTCTCTCAAGAACAGATGTAAGTAAACATCAACTGGAAATATCTTGGGTGAATGAGACTTTTATCAGAAGGGAGCTCTTCGCGTATTGAACGTTTGTGGGGGGGCTATTAAGGGCAGCAGGACGATTACGATACAGCCAGATCAGAAAATTTTCAGGTTGCTGAAGCTGCTGGTTGTGTCATCGTTGTACAGCTTCCACATTCTGCTGACACTAGATCCCCGCGACTGCTCTGATTGTCGCTGCCGGATACTGCTGTGTCGTACAAGCCCACCGAGTCTGCTGGAGAAGGAAGATGAAAGTTCTTTTGAGAGAAAATCACAACTGCTGTGGTGAGACGAAAAGATTGTCCAGCGAGTCCATTGGAGAGCCAGTCAAGAACAGAAAGACGGGGGAAAAAATAGTTGAGCCCACAACCCATAAGACTTGATGCACAAACACATGTGACAGCAAAGATTCAACCAACTCCACGCCGTGCCTTGCCTGGGAATCGGCAGCCACTCCGCGTCAAAACCGGTTAACGGGGTGTAAGCGAGACCACGGCTGGGTTCACCAAAAGAGAGCAAAGGGAAATTTCAGAAGAACAAAACAAAAAAGAATCGTTTCCAGGTCACGGTGGGGATCGAACCCACAATCTTCTGGTTCGTAGCCAGACGCCTTGCCATTTGGCCACGCGACCAAGCATTTGATGAGGACCAGAAGATGCCAAAATGCACCCATACCGTTAGCGTTGTGCCCAGTCGTCAAGTCGTGTAGGTTGCCTGTTGAACGCCATACTATTGTCTACCCTGCATGTGGCTTTCAGCACCGTCATCATCCTGCCGAGGCCATTGGCCAAATATGCCATGTAAGCAGATGAGTTGGCCAAATGCGTGGACACGGTGGCGACGGTGGCAACATCTTCTCTGGTTTATTAGTGTACGTTCCATCTCTAACACAAAGGGCAGATTCTGGCCATCTACCACACTATGCTAAAAGATGGTGATGAGAATCAACAACAGGGCTATCCTCCGGCCGAAAGTCGAACGTAAAATTTAGTTCAACGCTTACTTTTAAACAGCTACGGCTTAACACGTTGGTCACGGGCATTGGAAAACCAACAATCTTTTTTTTTGATACGATAGAAATCAAGACTCAAAATAGCAACCGGTATACCTAAGTACAGGAAAAGGCAACGTCCGAAAAACAACAGAGGGTGCAGGTATTATCATCATGAAAATGTGTAAAATAAAAAGGAAGACGTTTTAAGAGACCCGCAGAGACTTCTCTGAATGCATCAGACCCAAAATCTCCAAAGCCAAAATATCCCTTTTCCCTACTTTATCCTTGTTTGAAGGCCCTCCCTTTTGTATGAGTTCTCGCTTCTTCTCGTTTTTGTACCCTTTCTGCCCATTTTTTTTTTCGTGTTTTGTGTTATTGATGTTAGGGGATTGTGAGACGGAACAGCGCCATAGAAGACTGATCTTCGCAGAAGGAGAAACTAGACCGCATCAATTATTCCTCGACTGTAGATGATCGATTCTGCTATCAATTGTCCGCTCATGCGAACCATTTTTGATACCCTCTTCTATCCGAACAAACTCGATACATGTCTGTCTCGCCAAGCCGTAGCGTCGCGAGCGCATCCCATCCGTTGATTCTTAGCCCGCGTTCACGGCTAAACGCCGTCCAGTTGGAAATGCGAGGATCGGGGCCGTTGATCGCTTATTTGCCGAGGCTGGGGAAGGCAGCCTCGTCCTTGGTGTTGATGTTAGCAGCAGCAGGACGACCGCCACGGGCACCACCACGGGCACCACGCTCGCCGCCGCGACCACCGCGATCACCTCCGCGGTCACCACCACGGTCACCACGGTCACCACCGCGAGCACCACCACGGTCACCACCGCGAGCGCCACCGCGTCCACCGCGTTCGCCGCGGGCACCACCACGGGCGCCGCCACGGGGACGTTCGGACTCAACGAAGCGAGGGTCAAAGTCAATCGTCTGCTTGACCTTGCGCTCACGCTCACGGAGCTTCTTGCCACCGGTAGCAGTGACATACTCCTCCTCGTCGTTCTCGAGAGCCTTGGCGCCAGCCCACTTCTTGTCGAGCTTGCTGCCCTCGTTAGCCTCACGGACGTTGTGGCCACCAAGTGCGAGCTTCTTCTCAGCCTGCTGGGCGAGGTAGTCGCTGTACGAAACGCTCTTGTCCTCGGGCTCAGCGGGCTCGACCTCGGCATCAGCGGCGGCATTCTTGTCGCCCTCGGCAATAGCCTCGGCGGCCTGCTCGTCCTTGAGCTCGGCGTTACCCTCGTTGGCGCCCCAGCCTTGGGCAGTCTGCTTGGCAGTGGTGCTTTACAATTTGTTAGCTGGCATGCTGCGCGGCAGTTAGAGACGCCACGACCAACTTACTCTCGGTTCTGACGGGAGTGACGGTCATCCTGCTCACGGGGACGACGGCCGCCACGACCTGCAGAGGTGTTAGTGTGTTGCCAGGACAGAGGCGGTGCAAAGAGCGCAATTAGAATAATTGGCTTAGAGGAGACATACCGCCACGACCGCGGGCTCCAGCACCACCACGGGCGCCCTCACGGGGGGCCTCATCAGTGGAGCGAGCCTGGTTGCGAGAGCTACCAGCGTTGCGATCGCGGAAGGCTGTGAAACCCGGTTAGCTGCTTTACTGAAAGGCCACTTGCCAGGTCAAATGATTCTACAGAGCTGGACACAGCAAAAACTTACCACCCTCGTTACCACCAGGGCCACCACGGCGGTTACCAGTGGCACCAGCCGCTCTTACGGGAGCCTGGGGCTCGACATTGCGCTTGGTGGTATGGGTAGAGGCCTTGTCGACAGTCTTGACGGGAGCATTGGGCTTGGCATCACCGTCTTCGTCGTTGCCTGAGAATCCATACAAGGTCAGTACGTTGAGTTTGTCGGGGTAGTAGAGAGTTGATGAGTATGCGACGGCTTCGAATTCGAGACGATTCCATGTCGAACAGAAAGCTTATGCAACAAGGGAAATTGGAAGCGTACCGAAGTAGGCGAATCGGTTCTGTGAGGCAGACACACAAGTTAGCAAAATACATTCATGGCAGCTCATAATGCCGAGCCATGCCGCCTGCGCATCACACGCGATCCAGAGAAGACGCGCCGGCACCTCCAAGTGCTTTAAAAGCCATCTCGCTTCGCTTTGAAGTCGTGGATAAATTTTGGCCGGGCAGAACTGGTTCGATGGAAATTTGGATGGGTGTTTTCTGTGAGGTGCAGAGGAGGTGCTGGCGGCCTTTTTCTCTCTCGCTTGGGCAAAGGGGCAATATGCGTTGTCTCGAATTGCTGGCGAGGCAAAGCGTATGCAAGAATCATCAATGCGTACCTGAGAGGTGATAGCGGACGACATCTTGGTCGTTTTGTTTATGGCTTAACGCCTACCGACGAGGAGCTTTCAATGGCGGGTGGGAGTGTTGACAACGTGTGTAGTGGCGGAGGCAAAAGAGCATTCGGGATCGCATGACCTGTGTGGGAGAGGGAGTGGTTGGGCGGGCCAAGGCAGGGAGGTACCTCTGCCTACCTCGTAGCCAGAGACAGCAAATTGCGATGGACTGGGGCGGATCCAGACAGCTAAAATTGGGGGAGAAAGAGCTGAGGAGCCAGTAACAGAGCAGCTGTAAGGGACACGCAGCCCAGGCTGGGGCCTGAAACAGGACGCCGTCGAGAGCTGCAGAGCTCAGCTACAAGGGACGTTGAGCCTGATTCAGTCTATCTTACAGCGCCGAGGGAGAGCTCCTCTCGTCTAAGGTACCGCCAACAGGTACCTCCAGGTACCTTGTTGCCAATCCGCTAGGCCACACGACATATCCCCAGCAAAACCGTGCAACTGTCAAGACCTTATTCCTGGTAATACATGGCAATTAACAATTTCCATTCATCTTCTCAAGACACTGCGCATACAACTGAATCCTGTACGCATGCAGCAGCTTGTTGTCCAAAGGCGGTTGAATACTCGCTTAAATTGCGGTACCAAATACCGACCTAGGTATGTAATCAAACCCCAACTTTTTTGTGGTTGATTTATTTATTTTAGTTTTTTTGTGTCCAAAGTAGGGCTCTTTTCTTGGGCCTCCGAGTAAGTGTGAGTGGCCCCGTAGCCGTTAGTGCTTTTGCGTGTGCCGCAACCAGGAGCACTAGCACCACGGCTAGCAGCGGCTCCACTTCTCGTCTCTGTCTCCTGTTGCTGTTCTTTGCTCTCGCCAACAACATGAACAGGTTGAGGTGCCGTGGTGATTGCTACCTAGTTACAAATAGTCCATCTCTGGCTCAAACAGCCGAATGTCCACACCGATTGAATTAGCCGGAGGCAGATACTTACTTTCTGATCTTTGGAAGCTGTCACTTCGATACGGTAACACGCACACCATCACCCTGGCAAGACTGCTTTCCTGCGGCATTCGCAAGTGCCACTGTATTCGACCAAATGTAAACTATCGCATTTTGCAAGCACTCTTCGTCATACATATAGGGACCGGTTTAAGCGGATGAGGTCGAAAGACTGGACCGTTTACTGGATCAACCACATTGACCCAGATCAGCTCTCGCGACTCTCCCATTTCGCCAGACTCTTGTCGTTGATTTAGTAGCCTCATCTCGTTTTCCCTCTCGTCTGGTATCGAGCGGTCACTCATCATTTGCCACCTCAGCTTTGCTATTCCTCCATCAGCAGAGTCCACGAAGTTTTACGCATGCTTGCACAAGCTCAGCGTCGTCAACTCCGTTCGTGTCCCTCGCCGTCTCCGTATCGCAAGCGCCGCAAAGTGGTGGTCTCGAAGCTCTGATGCCTCGGCTTTCGTGCCGACTGACCGGGTAGTGGAAGTGCCAATAACCTCACGGTTTCCGCAGAGTAGACAGCCGTAGCACGCTCTGTGCCAAAAGCACCACCCAAAACTGATGCAGTCGTCCCCGCGACAGATCATCTCTCCGCAGACCCAGCATATAGACAGCTTGACAATGGCTGAAGCGCATTGGCTGCAGGCGAGGCGTGCTGAGTGTCCAAGTATGATGGGTACCCAGACGTCGAACAGTGGCATTAATTACAGATGAATTCGTCGTTGTTCTCGAATGACAATACTGGTACATGTTTTGTCGACATCACTGTTGATGTCCTCGTTATCGATAGTTTGTAGGTAATATCTTCAAGTAACTGCTGCTTCTTTCTTCGCGCTATCTGATAAAGAATCGTCGGCTGATATGAATGTTGATGAAATCTATATTGAACAAGATATAGCTGCTTGAAGAGTCGTGTGTCATCATACGCGTGGCCGAGGTGAACAGCTTTCAACCAGCATATTCGAGTGGCAGGCAGGCACGAGGATCCACCTGCGTCACAAAAAGTCACAGGGCAGCAGCAAGTTTTTCAACGACTACCTTCCAAGGACAGAGGAAGAAACAGAGGAAGCTGTCACTGTTACTACTCTCAACATTGAGGAATAAACCCTAGAAAACACGAACGCCGACATAATCCATAAACCGCTTTTAAAACCATGATACCAACAGAAAAGAACACCAAATGGCAAAAGTCAAACATCCATCATGAATCATCGATTCAAGTGTAGGCAGTCAAGAGCAATGAGAGCTATCGCAGCTTTAACAGACTGGCCGAGAGCGTAAATACGGTGGCGAAGATCCAACAATGGAAAGTAACGAACGATAAATGTACACGGTGCACGCAGTTGCACACTTCAAACTCTCGTCTTAGGACGAGCCAGTTGGTTCAGACGACTCATGCTCATGACCGGTTTCCTCTTCGTCGGGCTTACAGAGCCTGGTGTCGTCGACGTTTTGTTGGGCTGCTGTCTGCTAGGCGTCAGAGATGCATTACGATCCAGCCGTGCTCTCTTGAAGCTGCCTTGGGGAGTTGAAGAAATGGCCTTTGCGGTCGACAAGGCAGGACGCTCTGGGTCAACCACGCTGTTCTTGTGCTTCTTGGAAGCCCGTTCAGCAGCCTCTCTCTCGGCATCTTCTTCATCGCTGCTCGGTCGGTGACGCTTTTTGCTCGACAACCCATGCAAGACGCCCGGCAGCACTTCGAAATTCGATGTAGGTGCCGTGTTCTCTTTGTCTGGATGTGAACTGGAAGCAGGCGGCTCGGGGAAGCTGCCGGGCAAACTAGATGCCTGATTGAGCGAAAGCCTAACTTGACGAACACTCGACTGGCCAACGGAGCTACCAAATCCTGTCCTAGGAGCGCTGCCGAACTCGATGGTGTGATCGCTTCGAAAGGTAAACGAGCTTGGCACAGAGGGCACTCGTTTCTGATCTTCTTTATCTTCCGAATCAATGAGTTCCTCAAACGCAGACAGGTCAGGATAGGCAACGTAGCCACCACGTTGGGATGTAGCATTCCTTGCCCCCATATTACGATTACTCTTTGGTCCAGAAGCGGACGCAAATCTGAACATGGGGACCCTGAGTGGTGTGGGAGAGCCCTGCTCCGCCGCTGCGCGCTTAGTCTCCGGTGTGAATGTTACCTTTTTCACCATCAGCTTACGACGAGGGGTTGTAAAAGGAACAGGTGGCAACTCCTTGTCAAGGCGCGGAGGAGCTGGAGTATGCGAGCCGTAGAGTGCCGGCTGAGGAATGGCACTTCCCGAGGCAGAGCTCGTAGTTGGCTGTGACCGAAGAATGGACTTGACTTTCTGCTGGTGCGCCGGGCTAAGAATACGACGAGCGAGCCCATCAGCCTTGCAAGTCAAGTTGCCTACAGACAGCGACTGTAAAAAGCTCGGCGTGGAAGGCACAGCCGCTCTAGCAGATGACTTGGATGGGGTAGAGACCATTGCAATGGTAGCCTTGCGTGGGCTAATCGCTGGCTTCGTTGGTGTTGACACCGACGTTGTTGACACCGATGTTGCCTCCTTTGTGGGACTGGCCGCTTTATGCATTTGAGATGATTTTGTAGGGCTCCTCAGGCGTGAAAGATTTGACCGAGGAATCGCGGTGATGCGAGAAGAGGTTGAGGTCGTTGAGGTGTTGGGTCTGTGGGTTGATGTGTCGTCTTCTTTGTGCTGCTTCACTCGTTTCGCGGGCTGTCGTTCCACTGGCGTGCGATCAATGCTTTTGCTAGGCGAAGAAGCGTGAAAGCCTTTCCTGGCCGAATCTGGACCGCTTCTGCTATCCAAGTTTGCGGCCGACGATTTACGCTTCAGGTTCTTCTGTGGCGTCTGGGACAAGCCGTCATGAATGTTTGCCTTCCTAGGAGAGGGTGAGGCGGCCGCTTTGCTGGGGGATTCCGAGAGGCTAGATTTGGATGGCGAACGCTTCACGCCAGCCACAACAGGTACGAATCGACTTGCTCTCCAAGCAGAAGCGTGTCCCTCGATGGACTCCATCTTGTCAAATGCGGCGGCGTGGGCAGCGCTGTAGCGGCCTGCAATGCTCTTTGGCTGGGCGAAGCGGCGTTCGCCAACCACGGCTGCATCTTTGCCTTCGGCTTCGCGCTGAGCAAGCAATTCAACCTTGATCTTGGCGGCTTTCTCTCGTAGCTCCGCTAGAAGGTCTTTTGCGTCACTGTTGGATGCCGCCAGATCAAAGTTGAACGACGACGTCGGCACGCCAGTTGACCGTGATGGGGTTGCGGTTAAACCATTACCAGTGGTTCTCTTGTCGGAGGTTTCAATATCTGTGAAGCCAAGAGCCACTGCGGACGACGGCTCTCCGGTACTCTGATGAAACTTGCTTGGGTGCATTTCGCTGCGAGGCGGCCTGATAGCCGACGATGGAGGTGTCGAGGGAACGGGCTTAGGTGATTGGGCAATGGAGCGTCGAGACGGCGTTGTCCCGACAGGTTCGACATCCTCGGTAACAGACATAAGTTTGTGAGCTGCTCTGGTGACCTACGTTTGGATCAGCATCCTTCACACATGTGGCGGTCAGCATTCGAGATACCTTCGATGTGCTGGCAATGCGCGCAGAGCGGCGCCTCGGGGGAGACATCTTGCCAGCAAAGAGCGCAGTGTATATAATCGATGAGGATATACAGAAGCACAAAGATAAATTGACGTGGAGTAGCTCGACGGGCCGGTATAGTGGAATGTTGTAGCATGAACGTTATGGATATGATGTCAACAGGGAGCTTGCAGGCAAGAGGAATGAATGGTTTGTTGACATGAGTGGGGACGCCTTTGTTTACTTTTCGGGGCTCAAGTTCCACAAACGAACGAGCAACGAAGTACCGCACCGTGCAAAAATGAAGAATACTGTACGCGTGTACACTGTACGCGCGCTTTGGTTGTCTAACCCCAATGAACCCTCAAGGGTCTAACTAGCATCCTGGGCTGTACTCATGTTCAGGTCGAAGTTCCGGGTATTTGTTGCAGACAAGGAATTGCTGCAAATGCTCAGTCACTTTCGGAGCCGTCAGACTTACGCCTATTTCCAGTGACCCGCAGTACCAGCAGAGCATACCTTCGGCCAGGTTTTGGCCGGTGATTCTGTTACGTATCACATAGCTGTCAACGACACCTGAAAGAAAAAGACACGGAAGCAGGCGACAGCAAACCTTCGTTTCCCCGCATTTCAGACTGCGGGGAAGTGTGCCTGACCTGATTAATTACGGGCGGCATAATTTGACCCGATCGTCTTCATACAGATGATGCTTGGGTCCAGCATTGATACAGACACATTTGTTCCCGTGCTGTGGTTCCTAGTTCAAAGTAGGCGGCAAGAAAAGAGCCAACCTATAACTACTGCTGATAGATTTTCTCTGCTTTTTACTTCATTTTATTCTCACTTTCCTTGTTCTTTTCACTCCTCTAATCTGCTTACACTTTTACTATCTTCGTCCTGGTCATTATTTCTATTCTCCTTCTTCTCCTTTCCTTGTTCTCGTAATTGTAATCGGACTTTGATGATGAACGTCATAGCTCATGATATGCACGTAGATAGGCCAGCTACGAATACGACCATGGTACGATGGTGATCTCAGCAAACTTCCCAGACCCAAAGGAGACTGATCAGGTTCTGCTTCTCCGTGGAGAAAACCCACGACTCCCTTACAGGAAACAAAGCTCACCGCGAGCCCTCCCTGTATGCCGACAGGAGAGGTCGGGCGCAAAATCGAGTCTACGCTTGACTGCAAGTTGCCAACAACACAGCGCTGCCAGTCAACGTGGCTAGCCATCCTTATTATCTACATTTCCTCAAAGATCAAGCAGGCCTAGTTATGATTGATTGATGCTCAAGCGACCGAAGCGGTGGGGTGTTGTTGCTTGACCTGGGCCCTTGACATCAGTCTGATTTGTAGAAGTAGAGTCAAGAAAGAAGAAAAATGTTCCTATCGAAGTTGGTTTGAAAGATGAACATGAGAAGACTCCACTGAGCAGCATGCGTCTGGATCCGTTGGAAAAGCCACCCACAGTATGTCGTCCATGAAGAATGGAGATAACGGGTCGCCAGCGAAATTGCATCATTGTGTAATACTGCAAGAAGCCCAGAATGAGGTAGGTATTGTGACTAGAGAGCGAATTGTTTGAGTTTAGTGCCGTTGTAGCGAACGTCGTCTATATGTTGAGTGAACAGCGACTGCTCAGCCTGGTGCATCCTTTGGAATCCATGGACTATTATCAAGAGTCTCCGCAGTTTCTACCCTCCGATTAAGAGAAGACTTATAGCTAGAACGGGTAATTAGCCACCAAAGACATTTCTCATTGCAAGGAGCCTCGAGACTTGCACAGTCGAGGCATGATGCTAGACATGGGTTTGTGAGGTGAGACGATCGGATTGTTAGTTGGAGGACGAGACCTGGCTGGGTCGTTGCCGTGGGCCGCGGGTGAATTGGCATGAGACTGCAAGAGTACCATACTTTGAATTATGGGCTAAAATAGTGTTGGTGTTGCTGAAGAGGACCGTTAGACAGTCTGCTCATGGTACTCATAATCTTAGTCAAAAAGTACGTCGGCAACATAGCGTCAGAACCTTTATAACCGTTCGCTGAGAACTCAGGAGACGGCGGAAGAATCGGAAGAGACACGTATTATAAATGAACAAGCAGCCTGACTGACTGATGCCGATTACCAGGCAATTTCTCAAAAACTGCTCGAGGATCTGCGCGGACAGAGTTCGTCTCTTGCTGCGCAAGCTGAAGGAACACGCCCGGATTCTCGAAACATCTTATCCGGTTGCCTTTTCAAGAGTAGGGGTTGGACTGGGGCCATCTGTAACCTCCCTCTTTGAGTTTGGCGGGAGTCGTTTTTGCAAGTCAATGAGCCAGACTAAAAACTGGGCGCTAGCCCTCCGTGGACTGTCCCAAGAAGTCCACTTGATCTTTGCCAGCAAGTCCCAAAGAGAAAGGAATTACATCTTCGAGGGCACAGGCGAAAGTGATAGATTGCGCAGCGCGCGGCCGCCCCTTCTCCGATACTACCAAGACAAAGATTCGGAGACACGAGGCAACAGTCTTCTGGGGCACTGAGCTGGAGGTGCACGGAGATGCATGGAGTGGGGAGAAGTCTCGAAAAGTAGTTATGAGGCTTGGGTGTACTAACTATTGTACAAGCGTTCAAGCTTAATTGCAGTCAGCGCCAAGTCGGTACTTGTTCCTGTTTAGCTCGCTCGTTCATCTCTGAGCACCAGGCATCGTCTGACGAGCATGACCGAATAAGTTTCTGGAAAGCTCAGGACAATCCACAACTCACTCCAGACCTGGTGGTATATTTTAGTTATAGCTTGCTCCCCAAATTCCACCTAGCGTTCTGGCTGGCGCAGCTGCGTATCGTCAAGTCATGGCGAGTAGGGGTGAGAGAGGCTGCATGCTCTTGAGTACGCCATGGATAACACGCTATGTACGACAGTATGTTCGTTGCGATGAAGACGGCATCAGCGGCAGGGATTCAATGTGGCCCACGACAGCCACCTCCAAGCTAATAAAGACTCAACAAGCCCACAGCCCCATCGTGGTCGAAGTGGTTCCGGTGCTTGAGACATACATCCGCCACCCTTGTGGTCCCAATCTGTGCACTGTACGGAGTGATTACGGAGTATTGCATCCAGAAGCTCAAGTAGCAGCAGTTTTCGAGGCGCATACCGTGTACAGTACAGTGCCGTGAAGAGGTTCTTCCCGTCTTCTCTCCCCCGCGTGCCCCAGACAATGTCCACCAAAGGGGCAGAGGGCGTTGGACAACAACTTACAAGCCAGCCCACTCCGGAATTATAGATTAAATAAAATAAATAAATAATGGGCGAGAGAACGGGGCAGAGTTCCAGGCCATGATGGTGGCCGCTCCACCACAGCCGCTCAGGAATAAAATTATGTCTGTTCCAGTGGTGGCTCGTGAGTCGTGAGGTTGCTCAGCGGAACTCAGGTACCCCGTACTTCCCATTGCATGAAAGACTCGGGGCCGCTCTTCCCCGTATCCTACTTGGTGACTGTTCCCCGGCTTTGGTTCTGCGACAACCCCAGACTTAACGACCTATGAATCTGTCAACCAAAGTCTAACGTAATTATTATTTCTAAATCGAGAAACAGGGAAACGAAATCCATCTCTTTGATATTGTCTGTTCTTGGGCAATTGACGCTCCCTCTCGCTTGGTTGCGACATGCACTCACTGCCACCGCACGACATTCAGCCACCAACCCTCACTCAAAGCACCTCATCGCCCGCCGCCGCCCGCCTACCAGTACTAGTGACCAAAAGTACTCCATACGAACCGAACCCGTAAGGTATTTAGGTACGGATACCCAGGCCAAGTATCTAACTAGGTAGGTAGCAAAGGTCACAAGTTCCCGCAAAATTTTGCCCAAGCCTCGCTGCCGTAGCCGGACTTCTATTAGTATTGCCGTGCTTGACCACCGCTCTTCTTCCCCCGCACCCATTATTAGCCCCTCGTACATCTCCGACCTACTTTTTTTCTTTACCTACTTTTTACTTTATCATCTCCCTCCTATCCTGTCTTGTCCATCTGCATATCGATTGACACTGTTGCTTTCTTCTAAACGCCCCAGTCTTGCTGCCCTGCCTTTGGCCGTCTCACATTTTGCTCGTTCCTGCATACCCCGCGTTGTCTGTCACTCGACGACAACAAGTTCGCCCAGCAGCCTTCCTTCTCTACACAAGACAACACTCGCCATCTACGCATGGCCGCCAAGAAGATGTCCATCGACAGCAAGCCTACACCCAGGCACGAGAGTGAGGACTCGGCCGCATCTACCCCCGAGGGTGAACCAAACCCTGTTACCCCCGTCGCTACGGTACCCGCACAGCCCAAGCGAAAGGGCGGGCGCAAGCCTGTGAGTTTTCATGAGGTGCAGAGTTCTTGACAATATGACTGACTAATGCCTCCGACAGCTTTATGCTACCTCTGAGGAGCGTAAGCAAAGAAACAGACAGGCTCAGGCCGCCTTTCGTGAGAGGCGCACCGAGTACATCAAGCAGCTTGAGGCAGCTATCGCGGTCCACGAGGGCAATCTGGACAGCCTCCAGACGGCCCACCGCAATGCTGCCGATGAGTGCCTCATGCTACGCTACAAGAACTCGCTTCTCGAGCGTATTCTTCTGGAAAAGGGCATTGATGTCAATGCCGAGCTCCAGGCCAAGAATGGCAGCCCGATCCTGGGCCCAACCCACATGCCACAGAACATGGCCCAGCCGGCCCAATTTCACAGACCCGTCATGAACCGTGTTCGCAAGTCAGTGTCTTCTCTTGCCCCGAAGGTTGAAGCCAGCAACACTGCTATGGCTGGCGTCAAGACCGAGACCTCTCCTCAAACTCGCCCCATGCACTCTCCAATCAACGCAGGTTCTGCCTTCGCTTCCACCGTGGAGAATGTCCCGGGCGGTCGTTCACAGATGCCTGCTATCCTCACCGAAATGTCGGGCCAACCGCTCATGGACCGCCGCTCCGGTTCTGTCAGTTCTGGAGTCTACGCTACTTCTACCTTCCACGGCCACCTCGATCAGCTCGAGCATGAGTATGATCACAATCGAGATATGATGCAAGACTCTGAGCTGGACAATGGCACACACAATGAGCCCTTTCCCCACACCTTCGACGGTGGTGACAACATGATGGTCTCGGCCACCTCAGCCACGGCCACCTCAGCCACGGCCAGCCACCAGGTTCCCGCGTCGGGCCCAGGCTTTTCGTCCATGAGCCAGCTTCTGGAACAAAACTTAGATTGGGACCCCTTCGGTCTCAGTGCCAGTATGAACTTCCCTCCACAACAGCTTCCATTTGAGCATCCCGGAACCCTGCGATAGGAGCAAAAAAGCGATACGACCTTGACGATTACGAGCGCAACGCCAAATCGATGCACCAACCAGCTCAAAGCAGTCGCACATGCAATGACCAAGACCTTCATCTGGACACGGAGTTGCACCTCACTTTAGCAAAATAGCCTAATTGACTTACTACGACCAACTTGCCAGGGCATGCAATACCAAGTCGGCTCTGAGTCTGCCAAGGGTAAAGCGTGTGCATTCCTCACCCATCCGAACTCGGGCAATACATAGGGTCCTACCAAACCCTTGCTGCCTCGGCATCAGCAGCAAACCCTTTATCTTATCGATTGAAAAAGACTCTCACTGGCCTTTGTTTGTTTTTTTCGGCCCTTGAGCGACGCTTGGACGCTGGATTCACCAAGCGTTTGCTCTTTGAACTTTCCTCTTCACAATCCAGGCTCAGCCACACACTCGCGGCTGAAGTCAGCCCACGACATCTTTTGCAACAAGCTTTTCGGCAGCTGTACAGAAAGAGGAAAGTTAACCCTGTTATTGGCGTTTTGGCTTTTGGCGGAAATGAAAAGTTATCGCGGTCGAGAGGCTCATCAGGGCTTGCCTATGGCTTGCTGCTTGACACCACACTGACGCTTAGCGAGACTATTTGAATATACTAGCGTGTTTTGTCACACATGAGCGTGTACCATGGTGGTGTTTTACGGCGGACAGCGGACTTGACGGCGATGACGAAATCGGTAAAGTATTGGTAACGATGGGACACTGGCTCGTGTGTGGCGTTTCTCTTGTGGTTTTTCCCCAACTATGATACCCTGATCTTTTGATACCCCTATCTTTTGATACCCCTATCTTTATTTTATTTCTTTTTGGCGTTTCGAAGGAGTGTTCTTGATTTTGCCCCATTTGCACATTTCTCGTTTCTTTTGAGCATCGCTTGCGGAATCTCGCAGACAATACAAAGCCCTCTGAATGTGGCTTTGAAGCCCCTCAGCCAATCCGGACTGAGTCTTTCTTTGCCGAGTTGCATGGAAGAGTCTCGACGCTGGACCTGAAAACTTTGTCTTGTCTACTCGCCAAGTATGCCTGAAGTCTCGTTCGCTTCTCTCACCCATTTCAACACACACCGCGTTGGCTGGGTCAGAGAGCGCACGAGACCGGGCGCAAACCAGCTATCCTGTCACCAGGATTTAGGATAGCAGATGCCAACTGGGATGGCGATAAAAGCCCATGACGCGAGATGGAAGTCGGCTGGATTTGCCGATGATTTTACAGTCCCCCCCTTGCGGTGCACTCTCATAATAATATACTACATGCTCACTTGGTGACTGCGTAGAGATGTAGTGGCATAAATGTCTACTGGTTGGTTCATCTTCTGAGTCTTACATAGTGTCTCACTTGTCTACCTGGTAGATTTGGATACTTTAAGTTCGTTTGCCCTTGGGATCATAACTGCGTCGAGCTGAGTATATGACATAGGCCAGACAAAATTTTGAACTTTTTTTTTTGTACGGCTTGGTCTACTCCTACCTATCATAATACCATGTACAAGATCGCTGCGGTAGCCCATAAGCACATCAAGAGACTACCCGTACCGGCAGAAGCTCTAGTGTTTGAGGCAGCACCACTTTCTGTGCTGTTTGATAACAAGGCTGCCTTTCCGACATCTGCTACACCATCGATAGTACAGACTACTTTGCATGCATGGTGCTTTGCAGATCTGCGCATGATTCTGCGACCGCTCGCCGTCCTCGACCCTGACGCCGCCACGGCCGCAGATTGCTTGCCGGCGTCTGTGCTGTTGTACAGCATCTCAATCCACTGAATCTGCAGACTCGCCTCGTCGCCCACCGTCATGTTGCCGCTCCAGGAGCCGCCGTCGCTCCACGCGTTGAAGTTGACGGCGGCGGGATCCCGCGGCACCTGAAAGGCGATGCTGGCGGCCTCGCGCCCGTCGACGTACCAGACGCTGCGCTCCGGGGTCCAGTCGAGGCGGTGGACGGCCCAGTCGGACCACGCGGCGCCGCCGGGTAGCGTTGCATTGCGCGTGGCCTCGGCGATCTCGCCCCGGTCCGCAGGCAGGTCCGACGGCTGGTTTGTGTACTGGATGACGGAGCGCGGGCCGCGTGTCAGTATCTCAACGTCGGCCTCCTGCACCCTGGCTGGATCAGCGGCGCCGCGGTATGTGAACATGGCGGTCACGGCGCCCGGCGCGCCGACGGTGCGCGCGCACATTCGCAGCGAGAGAAACTGGTAGTCGGCATCCGCTGTCTGAAACTCGGCGGCCGTCTGGAAGTCATGGAGACGCTTCGTGCGCATGGTGAGGAACGTGACGACATCCCGACCGCCGCCGCCGCCGCCGCCGCCGCCGCCGCCGTCGCCGTCATCGGCCGCCTTTGCAATGTAAATGTTACTAGGCGAGTTGACCATGTAAATGGTGGCGTCGTTGGACAGGGTGTTTGCGCGGCCGTTGCTCGCCGCGCCGTTGCTATTGTTCCAGTTCTCAACCTCCCAGAAGCTGGTCCAGGCATCCGACGTGAAGAAGTCGCTGCTCTCTGGCGCGGAGGCGGCGGTGGCCGCGTTGTCGACCACGTTGGGCACGCCAGCGTGCGGCAACAGCTGCCGAAAGTCGAAAAAGGCGTGCTTGGCATAGTATCCGGGGTTAGTCCCGTTGGAGAGAAAACAGTCGCAGCTGGAGTCCTCGACGGTCTCTGCTGCTGCTGCGATCGAGAAGAGGGATGCCATGGCCAGCAGCACTGCTAATATTTGCCGAGAGGGCATCGTCAAAGGGGCGGTGAACGGTCCAGAACCAGTACAATTCTTGTGAGATGTCAGAGAACAGATCCCCCGCAGATATATACAAATGCTAAATGGTGATATCTCTCTGCTGACTGCTGAATGAGCATGGCATCACCTCATCCAAACTTGCCTTGCCAGTTTCTGGTGGCGGCTGTAGGCGAGGCGAGGCGCAGCGCTGCGTCCAATGTCGTGGTTGGTGCCTGATGTTCGGCGGCCACGGTCGCACAAATCAGTGGCCCGTCGGGAAGAAAGGCAGGGCAAGACACTACTCGCCTTTTGCTTGAATGTACTGCTTATTTTGCGCAAGTTTCCTCTGTAATTTCATGTTGGATGCGGCCATTAGCGAGGATACTGTCTTGCTCATCAGTTCGGCGCAGTCACATAGAAACGCGCCGCCAAACTCATCATGGGCCTTGTGAATGCAACCAAGGACGTTGTCATCGATGGAACCTCTGGCAAGTACCTCGGCCATCGAGTTTCGATTACCAGAAATGTCGGAGAGCAGCATTTGATCCAATCTTGAGTTCGGCATCTTGACCAGCAACGCGTTTGTGGAAAGTTGGATTTCTGCTAGCCACTCTGGCTCGGGCTAGCAGAGCGCCCAGCTGCTCGCATTGCTCCGTAGTAAACATGAGTTTATTGCGTGATAATTTTCCGGTGCCGGCATCTATCGTAATCCGGCCTTGATCTGTTTTGTTCTTTTGTTCAGGTTCTGGCCATGAAGGTGGTATCATGTTGCGCTAAAGCGACCACTGCGGAACAAATAAGCTCGTGCATAGTGTAAGATGTGCAGCCTCAGGCTGACTGGTCCTGAAGTTGAAAGAAACACTTCTCGCTAATCTCACCCAGGGCTTATGAGCCTGAGCCTATGAACCACGCCGCTTTGAAACGCTTGACTTTATTATCACCGGTGGCAGCAAAAGAATCCCTCCGAGGTCACGGTGCGCTACGGCTGTGAGTTTAGGACACTTGCCTTCGTTGCATCTTACAAACCTCCCCGTTTACGCTTGCGCCATTACTCACCTCTTTATAATCGCATACCAGCCCTCCATGGCAGCTCGAGCACCAACGCAGCGACTGCTTCGTCTCTCAAGACCAATTTCAACCCAAACCACGGCCTCTGCATCCGCATCACCCAAGACTGCCTCCACCACCACCCTCAACCCAGCCCACAGCCAGACCATCACCCTCTCCGATGGCCGCACGCTGGGCTTCGCCGAGTACGGCGATCCCCGCGGGCGCAAGACGCTGCTCTACTTTCACGGCTACCCATCGTCGCGCATCGAGGCCAAGCTGCTAGACAAGCTCGCCCTCGCGCACTCGATCCGCATCCTGGCCCTCGACCGCCCCGGCTACGGCCTGTCGACGCCGCAGCGGCCGCGGCGCTCCCTCCTCGACTGGCCGCGCGACGTAGAGGCCTTTGCCGCCAGCCAGCACCTCGACCGCTTCGCCGTGCTCGGCCTCTCCGGCGGCGGGCCCTTTGCCGTCGCCTGCGCGCACGCGCTGCCCCCGCGGACGCTCACCGCCGTAGGCCTCTTTGCCAGCGCGCCGCCGTGGGCCGCCGGCCGCCACCACATGACGCGCGCGCGGCGCATCCTCCGCGTGCTGGCCAACCGGTGCCCGGGCCTCGTCGGCGCCCTGACCATGCTGGCGCTGCGCTTCGCCCGTTGGCTCGTCGGCACCCGCTCCGTTGCGACGCGGCTCGACGCCTGGCTGGAGCTCGCCAACGAGCAGGCGCGCGAAAAGGAGGCGCGGCGGCTCAAGGCGGACCCGACTGCGCAGCCCAGAACTGTCACGGCGCCTGATGCACGCCCGGTGGCCGAGCAGCGCGTCGCCCTGCTCGATATGCTGATTGGTGAGCCGTTCGCGCAGGGGCCAGACGGCGCCGTGCAGGAGGCGCGCATCTTGACTGATGATGACTGGGGGTTCCGTCTCAACGACGTGACGTATCGGGACTCGCCAATTAAAATCTGGCACGGGACCAAGGACGTCAATGCGCCGATCGAGGCCATCCGCTATCTCGCCGGCAAGCTGCCCAACGCAGAGCTGCACGAGTTTGACCAGGACACGCATTACACCATGGGAGAGCACATCGAGGCAGCTGTATTGGACTTGATGGGCGAGACACAAAAAGAGAAAAAGTAAAGGCTAATAACATGTTTATATACCACTCTTGTATAGTAATTCACCCTGTATTATTAGTTCTTGAATAAATAAACGCCCTGACCAAGTCAGCGTCACACATGCGCCAAATCCAACCGAATGCTAAGCAGGGTATATTGTCTACTTGAAGCAGTAAATGTGCAAACATGAGCAACCATGCAAAACCGGCTATTATAAACAGATAAGATGCATACAACTTGTAGGCATAGATATCAAGGCTACGTCAGAAATTCGTCAACCTCCCATTCCTTGCGGACAGAAACATACAAGATCCAATCAAAGCATTTTAGGCCTCACCCTCGACGCGCTTCGTCGGGACAGCAACAACATCCTCAATCGTCTCATCAGAAAACTTGAGATCCTCCTCGACAGAAACGTGATCCTGAATGCGCATGACGATGACAGGAGCAGCAATGAAAAGAGAGGCAGCGAGACAGCCCCAGGTAGCACCAAAGATAGTGTTGAGTGGCAATTTGAGACCGTCCATACGCCAGAAGATGGCGGCACCGGCAGATTGAATACCCTTGTAGAAGCCAGCGAGGTTGGCGGCCTTGCGACCAGAGTTGGAAAGAGCACCCATGTACCAATAAATGCACGTCTGCCAGATGGCGTCGTACATGCCGTAGAAAAAGTACAAGAACATGGGACCGAGGAACTTGCTGCCGTCGGTCCAGTCAAGCTTGAGGGAATCGGGGTGTTCCTTGTACCACTCTCGCGTGGGCTGGTTCTTCTGCCAAGCCCAGCCTCCGCCCCAGATTCCAAAAGTGCAGGCCATGAGGAAGACAAGAGAAAGACGGGCGCGGGTAGAGCGGCTGACGCCCTTGTAGTCAAGAGCAAAACCATTGATGACGGCGCCGACAATCTGGGCTAGCCAGTACAGGAGACCGTTGAGAGCTCGGGTACGAGCATTAAAGGCGACGGCGTTGACACCATTGTTCTGATAGGTGTAAAAGATATTGGAGCAGAAGAACATGGGGAAGAGCAAAAGAATCCAGGGCTGTTGGTATAGTGTTTCCCAGAGACCGCGGAGCTCAGACGACCACGTGGGGTTCTTCATAAGGATAACCTTGCTGCCATCCTCACGAATGACCTTGTCACCGTTGCAGAGCAGGAAAGAAAAGACAGCACCAATAACCATGAGAATGATGAAGGCGACGTAGACACCATCGGAAGCTTGGTTGGAGAATTTGTCATTGACAGCCTGGGCTAGGGGGATCTAGATGATTCAAGTCAGCATCCGTGTATTGGTGCGCAAACGTGGGGCAAGTCAACTTACGAGAGATCCAATGACACCACCAAAATTGAAAATAATCCAAAAGACTGAGATATACCGGCCCTTTGCCTCTTCACGAGGGTAGGCCATCATAATGGCACCCTGGGCGCACCAGAGAATACCCGCGCACACGCCGAGAAACGCGCCAGCAAAGTAGACGAAGCCCTCGTTCGCAGTGTGCTTGTAGCTGAGGAAGGAGGCGGCGTAGATGCAGTAGCCAAGACCACCAAAGGCCAGAGCAGGGCGAAGACCGAGACGATTGGTAATGGTGCCGGCAAAGAAACCAAATACGGCAAAAGTAGAGTACAGAGCGACGTTGCAATTGGCGCCGACGTAAGCCTTGTCTTCGGGAAGACCACCGCCACCAAGACCGTTGAGGGCGTTGAACATGCCGGGGCAGAGAAAGCAAACGAGCGAGATCATGAGCAGCTGAACCTTGGGCGAGGCATACCAGAGCTCAAAGTTGCGACCAAAAGGTGTGTAGCCCTTGTACATCCAACCGGCAGGACGACCAGGGGAGCCGGTGCCACTGGCGTAGACGTCGTCGACACCATGGGCGAACTCCTTGGAGTCGGCCGAGTGCTCGACGACGGTTTCCTTGTGCTCGTCAGACATGATCGACGGTGCCCTATCGAGAATCCGGGGTTTCTGGGTCCTATAAGGGGAGGGTCGGGGATGAGACTGGTTTGAAGATGGACAAGAGACACGAAAGCCAACCTAAAGCTAGAGGCCGGGGGTAAGACCCTTATATTCCAAAAAGGACCAGCGTCTGACTGCAGCGCTCACGCGACGGAGCTTGGTCGACGGGGCTAGCGCCACAAAAGTGACCATGTCAGTATTAATGGAAAAGGACGGGGAAGTTAGAACGGGGATTGCACGCACCAGCGCCGTTTTGGGCGGGGAAGACAAGTGGACAGTGGAGGGTGGTATCCGGAGAGGCCCCAGGGGCTTCCTATCAATTGCAACAACAGAACTGGTGCTTTGTGGCTGATCCCCCACGGTCTAGTCAACATCGAGCTGCTGAGTGGACGGACTGGCACAAGTGGCAGTAACAAGTTTGGGCTTGGCTGATGGATGGTAGGATGGACGGTTGCTCCCTGTATGGGGCAGGGCGGCTGCTAATCCAACTCGGCTAGGTGCGTTGCTGCAGGTGAGGCTACAATGAAAGGATTGCCGATGTTTTAGATGGAGGTGAGAGTCAAGGTCTCAAAGTCGTTTGCCTCTTGTGCGCTGCTAGTTGCTCGCAGCTGGCAACCAAGAAGTAGGTACCTACGGAGCCGTACATGGCAAACAACTTCCTCAGCCCATACTCTCCCCTTTCATCTCCTCCACCAATGCTTCGATTCTTTTTTTTTTCACTGTATCTAATTAATATCGATTTTCGCCACTTATTGTTCTCATGCAGAATACTCCGCCTGCCAATCTGCCCATAACGTCGGGGAACAAAATACGGGACCCGCCATCCTGCGGCTACCTATATTCTGCTCCGAGGGCCGCCCCATGACCGGACGACGAACCAGTCAGTCTAGGACGGAGACCTGCTATTTCGAATAGAAGAACAAAGCCTCTCCCTAGTGGTTCAGCCTTGTTGTTTGTGAGGATAAGCCCCTGGTGCTTGGCCAGAAAAGGCCTGCTGCAGTGTCTCGGTAGGCCTGTTGCAGTGTCTCGGTTGGTCGCTGATCTATTTTTACAGGCCGTAACGTCGAGTTCAGGACCCGCCACCTGCGCGATAGCCATCAGCAGGGGTTGCTCAATGCAAAGCTGCAATACAAACATCTATCAGGCTGCTGCCAGCAACACGCTAGCGAAAGACAAAAAAAATTACCAACCCTTGGTGACATGATTTCGCCGCATCATCCAAGCAAGCTTCGGAGGAGCTTGGGCTATCAGTTGCTGGGCCACTAGCACTCAAGTCTTAGGCCCCATGGGACCTTAAAACTATTCAGGCTCTCTCCCCACACCCACAGGACTTCGGGCCACACTTCCTGGAACGCGGATGAGGGGAAGTAGGATGGGGGATGCTCGTTGGAACCACTGGAGAAACTGGGGGATTGGGTCGACCCCAGACGCAGAAAGCTACGTGACAGCGGGGGAGCAACCACGTTGGCAAGTTGGGACTTGGCAGCCAGTATGTTTTCTTGCGCCACTGGCCTGACAGACGGTAAAGTATCACTGGGGGCTATTTTCAACGCCTTCATCGCATGGGCTCAAGCCATCCTAGATAATAGTGGGCTTGTGATAAGGGACAAGCCACAACCGGTAATTAACACGACGCGTTGGCTGCATGGCGTTATCGCAACAATCATCACTGTGAGCAGTTGGCAATCCGCGCAGCTCTCTACCACCTATCACGGTCTACAAGTCAGCATGTGCGATAGGCAAGGCACAATTGATAGCCCAGATAAAACGGCTGGGTGCGAAGCTTTGCTCGCCAGCCCGGTTTGCTGCGTTGCTGACGAATGATGGATAAGTGTGCCTTGCTATGTGGGCAATTCGCATTGTTTCCTGCCATTTATCAGTACTGCACACCGCGATTCACCTTCACTAGTTACCTTATGAACAGCACGGGTCCGTGTTGCACTTTGCGAGTCGCCCTTGGTGTCTAGTTCCTGGCCTCGAACCTTTGTATTGACCGCGTTGATAAATCAGAACCATGAATCCGCCCCTTCTCGCCATGACGGATTCTAGCACTACCAGTAAGTAACGCTCTGCTCTTTCTTTTGGAAAGTCTATTTTGTCGTGGAGTGCCACAGTAGATCGAGTTATGGACCCGCTGCGGGTTACAGGGCGGCTCGGGGTGGCAGGCCAGCTGTCCGTCGTCGTTCGCCTCATTCCCTTTGCGCTGGCCAACAAGAACGATCACCAAGAGTTGCAGACGTGGCTGCCTTTTCACGCAACAGCCGGCTACCGATGCACCAGTCCTCGTATAAAAAGCTCACGTGAAGTGACCAGCATTGCCAACACTTCACTCCAATCAAAGGGCCGAATCTTGCGTCGTCTCATTGGTTATGCTGCAAAACGTCCACACCATCAAGAGACTATTTAAGATCGTGGCGCCCTTACACACAGCCCGCCTGGTACGAGTACTGTCTCGTTGACATATCAAATTTTTTCGTCTCGGCCGCCGCTGAGTCTGTCCTCGTTTCCTGCAGCCAGTCCAATAATACATTTTCAACGCTCAGCAGCTCTATAATACATTACAAGGCACTGACGACATGACCTTTCCGCCTCATGTAGTTCACCAATCTTTGAAAAGACGGCACCGCATGAGGCATAAACACGACCTAGTGCCATATCCTATTTCCCAAAGCAAAGGAGATGGCGTCGGGTTGCAAAGGGTCAGCAGGCTGATAGTGGCCAATTTCCATTCTCTCCGCCCGTTGTCACAGTGGCTGTTTTTGAGTCCATGGAGCGTTCTAGCGCACCTCAACTTCATGTAACGTCACCTTGCCGCCAACTAACGCCACACCACCACCTCAAACAGCCCACTTCTGGTTCGGGGCATCCACTGGAACGGAGGCTGAAGATCTGGGGAATCAGCTGTACGAAGTAGGTGGCATGCCAAACCCCAGACATGGAATATGCGTAACGAGTCGCGGAGAATATGTAAGCAAATGCGATGCCTGAATTTCGTCCGCCGTCCAGGTCCGGGTTGCTCAATGAGAGAGTGCTATATTTTAGTGCGTGGTAACCACTAGCAGCCATCGCATTTGCACTCCTCACAGCCTGAAGAAATGCTGCCCACACGAGACTTCGCAAATATGCCCAGCCAACACTACCACATGCGATCCCTTACCCTCAAAGGAAAACTGTAGCCCTAGCCTGATTCTGATGCCCTCAGCTGACTGGCCGTCCAATGGGTAAGTGGCCGTTGTCTTGATACTAGGTTACATCTAGCCTTGTGCTTTTACCGTGGAATCGGCTGGGTTGCAAGCGCCAAGCGCCATCAGCAATGGCCTTTGGCACGTTGAAAGTGTAATCCCATCGGCGTCTTTCTGCTTGACTCGGGAGCAACCATCTGTTGAAGTGGTGGCGCAAGTCTCGGCCGCAGATGCCTGTCCGCCGTCGACACTCGGTGCCGAACCAGCCGGAACGCAATGCCTCTGAAATTCGTCGTACTACTCGGGAATTTCGCCAAGTAGGCGACAAAAACTGCCCTTGTGTAGTCAAGCTTTATGTAGATGTCTTTTTAAACTTTATCTTATTTACTATCTTTGCTCTCCTTTGCTCTATCCTTCTTCAAGTTCTCTATCAATTTTTTTTGGCTTGATGTTCTCCTAAATTCTCTTTACCTTTCTCATATGCCTTGGCCATCTTGCTTTCCTACCTACTAGTAGACCTACTACCCTCGTCGTTGTTCTTACATTTGTCTCTATGGGCGTTTTACTCTTGCCCTTGAGTATGCTGGATTCGTAGGTCATCAAGTTCCTTCCAGATCCTCCTCGCATGGACCCAAACCAAGTTTGTCTGCAACTGGCGACGATGCGGGTACATCTACACAACATTGCAGCCAGACAGAAAAACCCTCAACACCGCTGTTGAAGCTGGCGAATTGTTCAGCATGCCTACGAATAGAGTAGTAGTAGAATGCAGGCCTCACCACGCTTCTAGCTCGCACTCGTGATTTACTTGTCATACATAAAGTCCCCAGGACAGGCCAGTTAGCTTGATGACACCGGGCGGGTTGCTAACGATCTTGCCCTGGTCAAAAAAGAAATGAGGGAAAGGACTGCCGAAGAATATTTGGCGCGGGCCCTGATGATGCTGCTCGCATGTGCACTCGCATACGTTTCAGCGGCCTAATGTAGATCACATGCCGCATAGCTCTGAATATCGGTTGTGTAACAGTAAGAAACCCACCATTTGGGTGTCGAGAGCGGCCGCTCGCAGTACAAAGACGCTGTACGATGGCTTCACAGACTAACAGACTTTCACATGAGTAATATGTACTATTATCAGCTGAACAGCGTCCACAGCGTTTCGTCTGCTTCGAGTTACATACAAGCCTTCTCATCATACAATCGACAAAACGCGCTCGCAATAAAAGGACAGACCATGACCAAACAAAACTTTCCACCAGATTGGTAATCCATGCTCCATGCTGAAAGAGTCGATCGTGTAACGAGAAAGACAGTGCCCACCCAGTTGTTCCCAGTAAACTACGGTATGCCCGTCTCATATCATCTTAGCGCATGGCATTGTTTGGTAGTAACATAATTTCCTTCGCCACTCATCAAGAGTGGCTGCATGGCTGTTCAGCTTCGATGCCTAAAGCAGCACATCAAGAGTGCATCCACTTCCTCTTCTCGCCGCCAATTTTTCGTCCCGTTGTTATCCATGCGCCGTTGCAAAACCCGATACAAAGGTATCCGCAGATCATATGCCCAGTATAAAAAAGAAAAGTGTGGTTTGGCGTCGAGACAAACGTGTTCGCCTTCTCGCTGATGGTGCCGTAGAAGAGAAAATATATCCAGAGTCGACAGGGTGAAATACAATAAAAATGAAACAATCGAGCAAAAGCCGGGGGTATCAATGTCGAAGAAAATAAATATCCATGAAATAAATGGTGTATGTGCGACGAGGTCAAATGGAGTCAGGCGCTCCATCGAATCGTTTGAATGTTGGTTGCGTTTTGCGCGACAGTCTTATACCTGTGCAGACGTGGTGTTGTGGTGGTGTCGGTCGCGGGTCATCCAGCCAAAGAGGTCGCCTCGAACAGCGCCAGTGGTGGTGGCGACGGGTGTCGGTGGCTCAACTTCCCGGCGCACTTCGCGAGGCTCGAGAAGCAGGCTCTTGCGGTAGTAGCTGACCTGGACATTACCTTGGTCATTTTGGCGAACGCGACCAATTTCGGACGTGATCCAATCTTGCATGTCCGGGAGCTCTGTCAAACGATACGGAATTTGAAAACGTTGCAACTCGCCAATGATCTTAGCCGTGCGAGTATGCTTGTCAAAGTTCACAACCGTCAAGCCTCCAGTTCCATCGTCTGCGCCCTCAGTACCGAGAGACATTTGCTTGGTAGCAGGGTTGCCAATGTCCACAAAGGTGAGATCAGTTAGGTACATGCCCAGGAATGGCAAACAAGGGGGAACGTGATCGTGAAGTCTAGTGCGTAGCACCTTATTATTTTGAGAGGGCTCAACGATGGCTTGCAATGTACGGAGCAGGTCCTTGCGCTTCGGCGAAACGGCATCCCATGTCTTCCGCAGGCGGCTTATAGTGCTGCTGTTGAGGCTGCAGATAATCGCCATCAAGCCATCGTAGTTGTGCAGTTCCTGACACTGGTGAGCAACTTTGATCCATTGCTTGATTATGGTAGCACGCTTCTTGATTTCGACGTGTTCGAGAATGGTATCAGCAACCAAGTTTGACAGGTCCGTCGAAAGCGAAGACATGGCCTTGACGTTGGGGGCCTCTGCACCACCCTTCTTCATCCACTGAGAGCCTAGCAGTTCTTCGGGCATGATGGCACAGAAGATGTTCATTTGTTTCAATGTCATCTGGCGTGCCAGCTCGAGAGGCTCAAAGTCGAGAATAGTCGGCGCAGCATTGCCGGCCTTGAAAGCGTTAAGAAGATGGTGCTGGTGCCTGGAGATGGCAGGAGGTGGCAGCGGCGTCTCGGCAGGAATGTATTGCCCGATGGCTGTGTTTGTCTTGCCAATGGAGGATACGAGGCGTGGGACGAGAGACCCTTGGCCGGAGACCTTCATCGCCAGCTCCAGTAGCCTTCGTCCAGCAGACGGGAGAACTGCACCGAGCTTGCCCTCAGCAAATGGAATAATCACCTTAAGCGCATCGCGATCAGTCGAGTCCCTCCAGTGAGACTCGAGCCAGCCCTTGAAAGCATTATATACTCTCAGGCGCACGGGTCCAGCCATATGGGGAGCATCGGCTACGTAATCGAAACGCTCGACCAGAGCTTTCGTAAGCTTCATCGGGGTACAGAAGAGACGAAAAGTGAGGAAGAAGGTGGACACAAAGGTGGCGTCGGGAGTAGATTCGTGGGTCGTGAGGCGCTCGACCAGAGCCGGCAGAGAACCGCCAGTGACCTGTCCCTCTTTGTTGAACATTAATTCGTGAGCGAAGGTCTTTTCGAGAAGTCGGGACTCGACATCGTCTGTCTCGTCAGCCATGGCAGTGTTACTGGCAGAGCTCAAGTCAGAGATGGAAGGCTTGGGTCGAGGGGCTAAGCTTTGGTCTGGAGTTGTAGCTCTCGTTGACGTCTGGGAGATAATGCTGGCCTCAGAGTCTCTGCTCAGGTAAGTGGTGCTGCTCCCAGCACTGGAAGCTGCAACTGCATCGAATCGCGCGGATTGGTAGTCATTGTCACGCGCAGAACTGTCAGGGTTGTGATAAGTGTCAGGAGGCAGCAGGGTCGTGGTGAGCTTGGGCAGAGGGGGCAGGCTCGGGCGCGAGGAAAAAGCTGACGAGTTGGATCCAGCTTCACTGACAGATTTCGCAGATGAGGGTCGGGAAGAAGTCGGGGACGCGCTCTTGGTGCCGGGGGTGTGAGAGGTGGCGAGGTTGCTGGGTGGAATGTTGTTCAGGGGCACGAGAGATTCGCGGCGAACGGGTATGTAAGAATCGTTGGTTTGCATAGTATCAGCAGCGCTAGCAGCCTCAGAAGGGCATTGTTCGGCTGCTGAAGGTGTTCGCGAGCGCTCATGAGGAACCACTTGCAAAATCGATAAATCAATTTCGAGAGCATTGCCTTCGACGTCAAACTCAAAGTCGCCGATTCGCTCGATGGTGGCCTTGGCCTTGGCCACACATTCACCAGCCGCCTTGACACAGTCTGTAGCAGTGCCAAGAAGAATAGAAGTATCGTGAGAAGTGATGACATCGGCGTCCTGGGATGCGGCTTGGACCAGGATGTCCCTGGCCGAAAAAACTAGTCCATGTGAACGGTCGAGAAAAGCAGCTCGAGAGAGTTGCAAAGCGGTAGGAGTCACGTTGCAATGAGACAGAACGCCATCAACAACATTGAGTAGCTCACCAGCCGAGCTTGCCGACTGGCCAACAAAGCTTGACAACTCCATGCGGGAAGGTGAGTGCCAGTGCAGTCTTCCAATAAAGGAGCCGAGATGAGAAAGTAACCTGTCATGCTTGCGATTCAAACGTTCGGAAATCAGGTAGCCAGGGCGTGAATGGGGAGAGGGCCCAGCCAGGGAGACGCGGTGAGTGAATGTTGCCGATGATCGATTTTGTGAGATGCTGCCTTGAGAGGCTCTGCAGTTGGCTGTAGCAGGAGCTTGGTTTAGAGAAGACAAGCGCTTGTTCCATTGGGCTTGCGAGGGATGGACAGCCTCGCTCAGCTCCGAGGTTACTACACTGGCACTCGTGTCGTCTGTGAGGGCTCGTGAGCCAGCCTCGGATGCAGTGTCTACCCGGTGCTCTTCAAAGGCGACCCTCTCAGCTGGTGGTGTCGGGGGTACATAGGATTCCTCCTGAACTGTAGCCATGACGGTGACGGTGGCAGGGGCGCGGGCTCGTCGGTCTTCCTCAAGCACATCAAGAAACCGGACGCCCTTGTTGACAATGCGAAAGGCCTTGAGGATCATTTCGTCGACGACATCATTAACGTCCTCCGGGGGGTGAGAGATGTGGCGTTGAGAGTCTTGCAGGCGCTTGGCCGTCTTGACGAGCAAAGAAAGCTCAGCCAATAGAGATTTTCGGCATTTGCGTAGAGAATCGTTGCGTTGAACAATGACCGACTCTCTGTTTAAGCAGTTTGTGCGTTCCTAAGTTTGAGTGTTAGCAAGGAGGCGATGGAAGAGGGATGACAGCGAGGGGACGCCAAATGATGAGGCGTACCAAGAGGAACCGGACACCAGCGATGATGCCCTTCATAAACTCTTGATTTCTGAAGAGTTCGCTATCATCGACCGAGGTGCTTCGTAATAAATCCCAAAAGTTGAGCAGAGACTTGAGCAGGGCACGCATGTCGTCGGGTTCGTAGGCTTCGCAATAGTTGGTGGGGAGCCAGCCGCGAGCGCCTGAGACCAACAGTGTACCGTCTGCCCAGCCATTGGTATGGATGGAATGAACCAAAATCACGTCACCTTGGTCGAGAGGCAGAGTGACGCTGGATTCTGTGGCGGCATTGCGAGGTTGGAAGGGATAAAAGGCGCGCAGGAAGTTGTGAAAGATGGGAGGCGCTTCGGGCGACAGGTCCTCCTGAGAGCTATTGGGAGTGGCGGGAGGAGTCATTTGTGAGGCTTGCGAAGAGTTGGCGTGTAGCTGATACGGGCCATTGACTGCCGAAGCAGAGCAACTCCTAGTCAGGTCAAGGGGAGCCACTTGAAGACTTGCTCGACCTTGCTGTTCAGATGGCATGGCTTCCAAGACAGCCGTCAGAGGCAGACAGGGCAGGTCGTCAGGCAGTGGTGCAAGTCGAATGTCGACGGCCACGCCAGAAGACAAGCAGCGTTGCGAGAATGGGCAGAGTCGGTGCGCCTAACTAGTGTAGATGGAGAAAGTGGAAGATTGATCGTCGGGGGGTGAGAAAGGCTGCAATGGAAAAGAGATTGCAGAATAGGGAATCGAGTTTGTGTGTAGGTCGACGTATTGAATTGGCTACGTGCGAGTAGTAGTAGCTGTTGTCGAGGTGTTGCACCGTATGTTGTGGTAGGTAGGTAGTGTGATGTGATGTGGTATGGTGTGGTGGTGGAGGGCCAAGGAGATTGCGGCGGAGTGCAATTTAGACGCGCGGCGGCGATGAGAAACGAGGCTTTGGACTGCAGTAGGCACGACGAATATTAGTTAAAGGGAAAAACAGTCGCGATGTTGTTGATTTTTGAAAGGTGAGTGGATGCGCGTCTGGAATGAAGAGGGGCCGTTGGCGATAGTTGAGGCGCGGGTAGGTATGGCCGACTTGGCTGGAATGCAGCCAAAGCGGGAAAGATTCTGGTGGTGAAGGCTGAACCTGACGTGCCTGGGTGGGAGCTGGATAGGTGTTGTACCTAAGGTACCTAGGTAGGACCTAGGTAGGTAGGTAGGTAGGTACCAAGGTAGGTAGGTAGCTGGAGCTGGAGCTGGACAGCTGGAGCGGGCAGCTGGAGCGGCCCGTTCAGGTACGCAGGTGGCGCAAACGGGTGGCAGAACAGCTCACAGTACAGCTGGCAGGCGCGGCAGCGGGAAGAATGGGCGAGCCAGCTGTAAAGGAGCTGAAGAAGTTGGGTACTTACAGAAAATGATAACACAAGGCGCAAGATTACAGAAAGACGGCAGAAAACGGATTCCAATGCAAGAGAGAGAAAAATATGAAGAGGGAGAAGGAAGTGAGAGACGCCAGGTTTGAGTGAGAGGAAGAGAGAGAGAGAGGAGGGTCGTAACAGAGAAGGAAGAAGGGGGTAGAAATCGTGTAGGCAAGGTAGTGTGAATGGTGGGCAAGGTAGGTAGGTACTTGAGGGACAGCGACAAGACAGGCAATTGAACAAGTACAGACCAGAAAAAGGGCCTTACCAGCATTGTACATCGTAATGCCTGCCTGGCTCTCTGATGAAATATTTTCTCCGTAAGTTACGGACCGTACCCAAGCACCAAGATGGATGGCCCAGCCAGCCAGCCAGCAGCCAAGCAACGAAGCGAGCCGACCCAAAGCAGTGGAAAAGTGGATGCCTGCTCTGTTTCTCCAGCTTGAAGACGGAGGTACTGGTACGCGACATATTGTTTTGCTTCTTTGACGAGTGTGATTCAATGTCATGGGGTTTGTAGCCTTTCGTCAAGGCAGAGAGGACCAAGCTGTACCAGTACAAAGGCCGACTGCCCCGAGCTAGCTGTTAAGCAGTTTAGTAGCATCCACCCAACACTAACATGCCATCACGCTATCAGAATTACCAGTAACAAGCTACGAGTACCAAGCTTGCCTACCTAATATTAAATACCTCCTGCCTAAATATCATATACTGAAAAACAAACCTCGCCGCTGCGTCTGCCCACGCTTCCTCTCTTGTCCTCCCACTGACTATTTACAAAGTATGACTAAAAACTGCTCAAGCCGTCTTTGCTGGGGCCGAAGCTCCACGAGCGGGGGATCGCTGCGTCGTCGTCCCAGTTGGACGCCGAGTCGACTGATGGGAGGACCCGGAGGGGACGTCTGGCCTCTCAGTCCAGGCTCGTGGCCGACCAGGGCGATCCCTGAGTGCTCAAAACTGCAAAGGAAAAGTAGCGGTAGGCATGCTTGAACAAGGTTACCCCCAGCCAAGAAAAAAAGCCAAAAAAGCCGTCGACAAGGGGACCACCGTCAAGTCTCCAGAGGGACCCCCTCCCGTCCGCTGTGGCCACGAGCGGGTCGGGCATGGGTTGGGTCGGGGCGATGGACGGCCTTGATGCCCTTCCAAGTAATTTCTGTATTGCCAAAAATTTGGTCAATTGCAGTTGCCAGGCGCTCATGCACGATCCTGGTCGCCATGACACTGAATACGGAGATGGGGATCGAGAGCCGGCGTTCCTGCTGCACCTGCTTGCAGCTTCTGTAATCCATACTCCGTACCTATGCATGGGGCGACATTTCACACTGCATGCGCTGACTGAATCAAAAAAACAAAAAGCGAGAAGAAAAAGAAGGTGAGAAACAACAGAGTGTTGGTGCCTGCAGGTCGGCCCAAGGCCGTGAGAACCGATGCTTTTTTTTTTCTTCGGTACGCATGGACACTTTGCAGATGAAAACGAAGCTCTCCTTGCTACTCTACTCTCCCTGGGTAGGTAGGCACGTTACTTTAGCAAGTCCTGTGCCTTGAATCGGCTCCGGGCAAAGGGAAAACTACGCTCGAGTCACTGGACTGAAATACTCCGTAAGTTACGGACACGGCAATAATTAATTCGCCTTTCTGGTGTCTGCTTTACCCACAATAGAGCCAGCTTTCCCCTGATAATATCCCAAGCTCGCTGTTCGTTAACGAGTATAAAAATAAATGAATTAATAATATTAATAAAAATGATAATAATAATGCGAAAGACAAAGAAAAAAAAGAAAAAAGAAAAACTTTCCACACTCGGCCGTCGCCAAATTCTCTACGGATTACGGATTACCAGTGGGTTGAAATTCTCCAGGGTGTAATTCTATCAGTAGTCAGCACTGTCTGTTCTCTTTGCCTCTCCTCCTCCTCCTCCCTCCACACCACCACCTTCAGTCACTGTGCAGCCAGCTCTATCGCCCCTCCCCGGTACTACCCAAACACTTGTATCAAGTGGACTGATCGACTTGCCTTTCTTTCTCTTGACGCCCATTTTGTTGCATTGTCAATGCATCCCTCTACTCGTCTTGTTGACCCAGTCTCCCTCTGCCCAACGCCACTCTACTTTGCAAACGCATGGCAGGACGGCACAACGGATACCCTGGCAGCACATTAGAAGCAAAACACCAACTCTGACACGGCCCGTCCTGCATCTCACCTGCGACTTGCAGCTGCGCTCCAAGAGTGCATATATTGCCTCAGCTTGACTGGCATCATGCCACCACGGCTGTAGCCAATAAACGAATCTCGAGATGGTCCCCTTTACACGCGACGACACCCTCCAGATCCAGTTCTCGCCAACCGTTCCAAACATCACTTCCATACTACAACAAAGTAAATACGCGACACACTCATTGCTCGCTGTGGAGTCACCATCTCTCTCCCCTCTACCGAGACCTCACAAGACACACCAGCACGGTGATCGCGCTGTCAAAGGCAAGAGTCAAGACGCAATCTTCCTTAATAGAGGGCCAAGAGGCGCAATCACCGTTTAATGTCCAACGAGTCCTCCCTCAGACATATCAAAGGCAACGTGACCAACCGTCTAAATACTGGACTCGCTCCACACGGTCACAAGGCAAGAAAAGCAACAGCCTTTCTACTCAGGCCAGATTAGCATCGAGGTCTTGGACGCGTGCCTCACAACCTCGCCAGCAACGGTCAAGCAAGCAAGACACCAGCCCTGTGCTCCACCATAATAAGTTCGCCGGTCGCTAGTAGTCTGCACGAGCGTCGAGTACAAGCTCTCAAGTTAGACATCAGACCGGCTTCATGCATGCGCCGGCTTCATGGTCAAACCGTATCTCTATCACTTTCAATGCCGAAATATCCTATTCATCGCTCGACAGTAAGCGATTTGAAATTGTCGAGGCCAAGAACTCTGCCGCGATCCGCAGTGCTTGCGCAAAGCCTATGACATGCAAGGCGGGTCCTCTTCGGTCAATGACTTCAGCGCCGCCAACATTGACACCCAAAGGATCAGAGAACGGGTTCATATTAGCGCAACTGTGATGTTTGTTTTCCCTTGATATCAGCAGTGGCGTTATTGTCTCCTTTGCGTTTGCGTACACACCAATCCTTACTCTTTCCAGGTGGCGGCGCACCTTCGACCATGCTGCTGGCAGCACGAGGCCAAGCAAAAGAAAGTCGACTCCAATCTTAAGGTAACGATTCAGACAGAGCATTGCCAAGCTAGCCACATATATGGTTAGATGAGCCAAGGCCCGGGTACTTGACAGGTCGCCCTTGATAGTGGACACCATTTCGCCAGTCCTCTCGCCACAATAACGTCGTCGCAGAGATATCACGTATCATGTCGCTGCCCTTTGTGCACCAACGCACTGTTCTTGTGATGTCGAAGCCATGCATGCGCCTACTATTAGTGGGATTAGTCCCAACGGTGGACCCCTCGAGAAAAAGGGAGTCCAGCTCACACTAACTAGTCTTACATTTGGGGCCAAAACATGGAACTAGTGCAAGACACAAAGGTGCGCCTCTCTGCATGCGCCTTGTTTTTGCCAAAGCAATGCGTCGCGAATTCTTCTTCTTCTTTTTGTTCATGCAACGCTTCGACGGCGGATGTTGGTCGCGACACTCTCAAGCATCAATGCTCTGGTCTGCCTCCAATGCATCCCTCGTCTCAGGATGTCGTCTTATCTTCTCCCTGGAGAACCCCTTCATGGAACCCTGGTTTCTTGGGAAATCACAGGTCTGGTTGATCGTCTACTGCAACTTGCAATCACATAGTCACAGCCATGCTTGTCCCAAATTCACCGTGCTGCCAGCCAAAGTGGATCATGTCTCGTACCTGAGAATGCTGGCTGGCAGATGAGGCTGCAAACCGCTTTGTTGGTTGATGGTTTGCGCTTACCAGTGTGCGGCTCGGCTTGCTCAATTTGGCCAAACAGCCGTGCAACCATACCCCTGCTCCAAGCAGACCTGGCATCTCCTTCACATTGCCAATGCTCAGGACGCGAGACGGCAGATATGACAGCATATAAAAACAGAACCTCTGTAGCAGCAGTCGCATTGATCAGACGAGGGATTGCTGTAGAACCTCAGACACGCCACAAGATGTCTGAAAATCAGCCACACTAT